CTGGTCACTCGGCTATGGCCGTACATGTCAGTTGTTGGCCTAATTTTGGTTATAAACCTTTGCGAGAAGATGCCATCCTTCTTCGACAGAGTCAGCGGCATTCATCAACTTTACCCCCGTGATATGTCTTACCCGTCAGTCATTTTCACTTGGCATCCATTGAGAATGTAATCGCCGTGTAAAAGTACAATTGAAAAAAAAAAAAAAAAGGACTGTATATACATCATGTCCCCATGCTTTTATTATGTCATACCAGCAATGCGTCCACCGCTCTTCTGTCTTCTATCCTCTTTCGGTCCACATGTACATGATAAAAGAACAGAAAGGGAGAAAAAAAGGCAATTTGCATTGGCTCTCTATTCATAGAGAGCTTTCATCGCTGTATTCATGTATAGTAACGTCGTGGTCGCCGGTGAATGCTTGGTTCGTCATTCCTCCTTATACCTCTTCTGCTAATGTCTTGTGCTAATGAGGTAACGTCAGCGTCAAACTGCCGCTGCGCTTGCGTCCGGCTACGGTGCTGGTTGTTCTGTCCTGCATGCAGTGCATCCACTCCAGAACCGTCTCATAGCATAGCACGTATTGCCGCAGGCTTTGCACAGTGCTGAGACGTTGCTGTCGAAAGTCTTGGACAGTTTTCTGGATCAAGTCGATAGAGTCATCCCGCAGCCACGTGGTGTCGAGCCTTGCGGACTTGGGCTGCTGATGAGGTAAATTGGCAACTTGAGTAACCGAGGAACCTAAATCCATCTGAAAGTAAGAATCGGAGGGCATCGAAGACACGACACCATCGGCAGGGCCGAGCATGTCCACGTCGCCCTCTTTGTCCTTAACAGTGATGCCGGTGAGATCCGCCTGACGCTTCCGCTTCATCATATCAACAACACTGTCGACAGTACAAAAAGCGCCAGTGCGACCGCAGCCCGCTGAGCAGTGAACCAGCATGGGCCGGCTATTCTCATCGACCTCTGGCCCATCGTTCCACGTAACGGGCAGTGCGCCTCCTGAAGCTTTGCGAGAGTCAACGATGGTGCTGGTCTCGACGGGCAGAGAAGCGCGTTGCATCACGTTGGCCAGTTCCACGAGAGCGAGCAAGTGTGATGGCTTGGCAGGGGTTCCAAAGTCAGGCCAGCCAGGGAAATGCAGGTGGGTGATCTCACGAATCGGGGCGAAAGGGTGAGAAGAATGCGATAGCGCAAACTTGCGAATGATGACGTACGGCGCCTCTTCGTTGGGCGAGAAACTAGGTACTGCCTCAAACACTGTTGTGGTGTTTGCTCGGCGCCGGCCACGCTCCGAGGAGCTCTGGGCCGGCGTGCTGTTGGAGTCAGGTCTATACTTGTCCATGTCGAGCGAAGCCTTCTTCTCGGATAAAGGCCGTAATCGAATGGGGCCATACTCGCGGTTCTCCCAGTACGGGTGGCACTTCAGTTGCCCGCCCTCGGTCGTTGCCGTCAGCATGACGATGACACGAACATCCTGGTCCCAAACAACAGACCAAAAGTCTTCAAATGTGGCCGGCAGCGGACCCTGCGTGGCAATGTATTTCTTGTTGCTACGCGACGCAGAGAGCTTGCTGGCATTGATATAATCACAGGAGCCAGGCGACTTGTTTTTCAAGCGGACTCTGCTGTGCTCAAATGGAAGAATGTCCTTGTACCTGTTTTTACCTCCCTTTTCCACACCACATAGCTGGATATTGTTCGCCGACGTTGCGTTGTTGGGATTGAATGCGGCATAGGCACCTCTCATGCGAGATTGTTCATCCTGTTCAATGTGAAGAAACTTGTCGGATACCTTTTTGCCGTGATCCCCAGGCGCAGCGGCCTCGCACAGCCATGTGGGAAGCCATGAGGTATCAAGGCCATCAGGCATGTGAACATCAAACTGGCCGACACCGTCTGCTAGATCCATGTTCTGGCGAATATTGGAGAAGAATGGGTTGGGCTCCTGCATGCTGGTCGGCAGCATAACACCTCCAATGACAGGCGCAAGTGCGTTGCTGTCGGCGGTCGCATTCTGGGATCTCGTGGCTGGTGGCTGTGCTGGCTCGTTGTCGACATAACTGGGAAATGACTGACGGAAAAGATTAAAGCCACCACGTAAAATGGCAGTTTTGCCAGAGTAATTCGCTGCCGTGAATTTCTTGATCATGCTCTGGGCGGTGAATGCGTCACGGTTGTCGGAAGCGTTGGTGTCGTAGACAATGATCCATTGCATATCCCTCCAGCGGTTGAATTTTGTCGAGTTGATACTATCCTGGAAAGTCTGCTGGAGCTTCTCGATGCCAAACGTGGCACGTTTTAACAACGTTGTGGGGATACAGAGGTTGAGAGCATGTCTGATGCGGCTCTGAGAGAAATTCTGAACTGAACGAACATCAATGAGTAGGATACCGTCCATATCACCCGTGTCCATAATGTTGACAAGCTGATCGCCAGAGATGAAGGGGCTTTGAACAATGTCAAGCTTCATTGGCAGCGTGGAAGCACGTGCTAGATTGCCGACGGATGGTGATGACCTGCGTAGCCTAGGTTCGTTCAGCGTGAATCGCTCTTGAAGGTGATCAGCGGGTAATGTCGTATTAGATGGGTGCTGGGACCGCTGGAGTTGCTGCCGGGTGTCCTCGATAGGAAGCGGAGATGCAACACGCGGAAGGCCTACAAGCTGAGGTGGTTTCAACGACACATCGGAATTGCGGTTCGAGTCCATGGATACGTAGGCGGAATCACGAAGGCTGTTCTGATCAGCGTCGGACTTTTTACTCGCTCCCGAGCCAATGTCGGCGCGAATCCTATTCAAGGCCAGTCGAAATGACGACGGCTCACTGGCAGGTTCATTGCTATGAGAATGCCAGCGAGCCGGTCGGGGACGGGCCATGTGTGCTGAGGCTGACGGCACATGGCTGGTTGTCGGAAGGGCAAAGGATGGACCGCGATTGCGATCCGCCTGCCTCCTGAATGCTTCAAATTCCGAGTTGGGTTCGAGCGGGACAGTCTTGGGTAAGGCCGCGGCGAAGGACTTTATCGAGGAACCAGGGCTCCAATTATCCTTTCCCGGGGCTGAGGAGTCGGCTACCTCAACATTCGAGTCGATGACCAAGCCAAAGTAGTTGGGGCTTGGGGCGCGTGCCTGCGTTCTGCGGCTGGGAGAGCTCTTAGGCGGGTGATTTTGGCCGACAGAAAAGGCGGCGCAAGGCGAAGTTATGGGTGTCGTTGATTTCGTTACGGTTCGTGAGGGCCGTCTCGATATATTATGAGGACTGGATACCCCAGGAGTTCGTGTAGTGTGAGCCGTCATGGCGTATTGTACAGACATTAGTTAGAATAGTGATGGGGCGGTTGAGGTGAATATTAGGTGCATGCGAAGCCAATCAGCTTCGAAATCGGCCGAAAGAGTGAATTTAAAGATCCATGGCTCAAATTGATAGAAGTCGATTGGATGATGAAGAGAAGGTGATTGTCGCGTGCGTCGCCGCAGAGTCGCTATGTAGGTTGTCGGTTTGCAGGGTTCAGCCTGTGACGTAACTGCGAGAGGGAGGCGGTGGCGAGAATTGAAAGCAACTAGGGCGGAGCCGCAGAGGCGAGACCTCGGGTGCAACGGGCAATGAGCGACCAACCACTGAAGGCTTCCTCGATTATAAATAGAAGCAAGCCAAAGATGACAAAGTGGACTTCCTTTTCATATCAATCTCGGGACGAAAAGAGGGCGAAAGGGGTAGGAAAAGAAGTTGGTTATAAGGCCCTGTCGAGTGGCTTTTTTTCTTCCCTCCACGTCAAAAGCACGGCTAGGGGTGTCTCGGTCAAGATTTGTTGAAATAGAACAGCGACGGATTTCACGACAAATTCGAAAAAGCAAAGTGTCGAGAAGCACGAGACGTCATACAACGAGGAAGCGAGCGGTTGGCCAGTAGATGCAGATGCGCGCTGCAGGACACGGCAGCGAGGCACAAGGGGGGGGCGTGAGCTAATGATGGGTTGGCGAATGGCGCGTCGAGAGGGAGAGCAGATGGCAAAAGGTAGTGATGAAGAAGAAAAAAGTACAATCGAAAAAGTGGAAGCAAGAAGAGAAGAGTATAAGGATCAAGAGACGTAGCCGCCAAGAGGAAGAGCAGGCCGGCTAGTAGTTTGGCAAGTCTACGTTTGTGACGAGGACAAATATCCGTGTGTGCTCTGTGTGTGCGTCTGTGTCCGTGTGTGTGGGCAGACCGACTGTAAGTAGTAGGTCGCCGCCAGCAACGTCTGCTTGGAAATAGAATGGGGATGTGCGTGTATTATTATTATTAGGCAGTGTGGGAACGCAACTGACCACCACCCCATGCCGCTAGCCAACTAGTAATTCATGGGAGTCTTATCTGGCATACATTCCATGGTGGATGATGGCGGACGCCAGATGACGATGCGTTGGAGACACAAAGGGCCTGGATTGCGACGATGCTGGGTCCTAGAGTCACTCCACTTGGGGGTTTTTTTTTTTCTTTTCTATTCATTCTTCCACAATTAACACCTTACGAATGTACGAGGGCGAAGAAGATGAATGGTGAATCAAATAGGGCTTGCCTTGGATCCCAAACAGAACAGCGTCACCTTGGGGTCAATGAGACAAAAGACGTTTTGAGGGGGGGCCATGTCGGCGGCGGATGAAGGATCTCAGCCAGCTTAGTTAGTCGTACGGAGTACCGTATTTAGCATCAACCGGCCGTCGCCAAAGTAGCGGCCAGGTATCCAGTAACAAGGGCGTGAGAGACAAAGGGCGTGGGATACAAGGATAGGGGGGGGGAACAAATTTAAACAGGGCAGTAAACCCCGGGTCGATCTGGTGCAGGCCTGGTCAAGTTTCTAGAGCCAACGAAGAACAAGAGAAAACTCTTGGCTTCCGGTGCACGGATTGACAGAGATGCCATGTTGGCAAAATTCTGGTACGAGAGAATAACTAGTTAACTGGGCCATCGACCGAGCGGGAACCGGCCGCGGCACGCAAAAACTGTGTATAATGGGGTCTTGGAATTCTGCAAGGGAGTGTGAATCTGAATCACTTTTTTGCCAGTTGAAATGCGATTAGACATTGTCAACACGATTTGCATTGTGTAAATATAACCATGACCGCTCAGAGCATTGACAACCCTCTTTGCAGCCATGGCCTCCTGCAAACTTGCAGCGAACCGGCAGCAAGCAAAAGCACCTTCAGAGAGCTAAAGGGGTACTCGTGCAATACCTATCTACCTACCTACCTACAGCAGTCGCGGGCGCCCCTTATTAGGTCATTGTAGCGGTGGAGGGCGCTGAATGGGGAAACTGATTGGCACGGCGCAGAGCAGATCGAAGCCCGGCCAAGGGAGACGGGCTGGCATTAGAAGGGCCCAGAACGGCCTTTGACATGCACCCAACTTGACCGGTCCAGAGACGACATTCTGATTCTGATTCTGATTCTCCTGTGAGTTGTTTGCTTCTTCTTTTTTATCTATTCAATCTCATTCACACCGTCAGTGTTGCAACCGGCGCTGCAACCGTTGACAGCCATTCGTGACACAACTGACAACCTCCTGGGGCTTGTATTGACAACTTGTACTCCGTAGGCTACAGTACTGACGTCTTATTTTTTTTCTCTGCTCCTCCTGTGACGTAGCTTCGACGGCTCACGTACCACGCTTGTACCTCCCGCATGCTTGGGCCACCCGCCCATCACGTCATAGTGTCCCAGCCAGCCAGGTCCAGAACGTCTAGAACCTGACTCGACGTGATGGTTCTTTTTCAAACACGAAATTTCCTTTATAATTCCGACACTTTGGCCAGAGTGCCCGAGTATGAGTATATAAAAATCTAGGGTGGCAAACTCGTCTATTACGATACTATTTCTTCCACCTTCCCAAAATGGGAATTAGTGATTAGTTAGTTACCTTGTCTTGGCGGGCCTGAAATGAATCTTGCTTTTGAGCCTCGCCTCGCCTTGCCTTGCCTTGCCTTGCCTTGCCTGGCTTGAAGGCGGCCCCTGTCCTTTTTTGTTCCGTGTAAGAGCCCTTGCCTGCCAATGAACCCAATGAATAGCCGCCAAGCCAGCAATCCTCAGCCGAACCTGGCCATGCATCGCACAAGAACCACTGTTTCTCCATGCAGTCTCATAAATGTGACCACAAACCCGAAAATCCTGGCAGACGAGCCTCACACACACATACCGTCTCCTGTAACAAAACTCGGCGTTCGCAAATCTACCCCCCAACCCAACACACATGTACATACCCCCTATCAAGCCGCGGGAGAGTCTAGACCCTTTCTTTACCAATGATGTGCGATAACCTGCTTTTTATCCCGCCCGATTCACGGAAAAGACTCTCCCCATCGCACACCCATTACTCGATTCTTGGACCCTTTGCTGTCATTTGTGTCCCTCGTCCCATCGAAAGAATCAAGGTATCGATGCCTGATACACGCAGCCTGGGTCATGCATGGGAAGCTCGCGTGTGACACGTTCCCCCACCATCAATATCGGCGGAACATGCAACAAAAAAAAAACGCAGCCGCAACTGCCATGCAAAGCACCGCAGACCAGCCAGCCACGGGTTGGGCCTGAAAGGTTGAGAACAAGGGGATCGTAGGGCCTGATCGCTCCCGTGTGCCGCTCTCGAAAGCGGAGCGCGGCTTCTGCCAAACGGCTTGATTTCTCGCGTGGCTCTTGCATCCTGCAGGAGAGCAGCTGCTTTGCTGCCGTCTCCCATGTCACCAGCTGAAGTGGAACAATGAATAATGCGAAGCTCTAGCTCTCTCTCTGCAGTTCCATTTGGACAACGCAGCGCTGGCGAGATACCGGGGCTTACATAGAGTTCCTGTTTTTTTTTGACGGGATGGTGTAGTCTTGACACCTAGCTGCAACCTTCTTTCACTTTGGCAGAGCGTAATGAGGCTGACAAGACGACGTCACTGTAGCACCCACCGTCTATCCGGCAGCAAGGTCCAGACTCTTCCATTTAGGAGAGCCGCAGATGTGCGAATAGAATCACAATATTCAATAAAATGCAATGGCAGTCAGGTGTTACATTGGCTGTCTCTTCTGGCACCAAGATGTGGCAATACCGTATTGGTTGTGTGGAGAGGATGCTCAAAGACAAAGGTCGTGGTTTTAACAGGACCCTTGATTGTCGCAGTGTCCCAATGTCCGTACGAGCCTTGCTCTGCACCTCGTTCATCTTGGGAAGTGTGATCCGCTCTCTGGTCCGTTATCCGTGTCCCATCTGGGTATGATGGAATAGATATTCCCTGTTTTTCTCCTTATACGCCTTGCCACCGGTGACCGGCCATCCCATCCCATCTGCACTCACGCCCCGCCCTGCCCGCTACAAAGTAACACTCACACATTGCAAGCTCGCACCTCGGCGTGCTCGGCGACTATGAATTTCAAATAATAAAAGGTACACATGCATGTACTTGCCAGTCACTGATTGTCGATCAAAGACTCTAGAATTCGGTTCGAAAGATGGCCTCGTTCGCTTAATCCACATGGTCCTCCTTTGCCCCCCCTCCAAGTCTTGATTCCTTGTTTTGGCGCGGCATCTTTTGGCTGGTCGTACCCGGCCAGCCACGCGATACATCAGATTCTCGAATGATTGTCAGGAACTATCAAGGAGACTTCCTATAGGGCCGAGACAAGAGGGATGGCACGTGTAAACCTAATCATGAACAAACGGTTGGAGGGGGGACCTGGGAAAGAGCTGTCAGACATACAAGAAGCGCGTATCTAGACCATGGCACTTTCGCATTTCAAAATCCCGTGTTTATAGATCAGTCTTGTCTTGACTCCTTCTGTCGGCTGGAGCTTGATAAGCCCAGACCATGCTGTAACTACTGATGAGTATTAGGCACATGCAGCATACACTCACCTCTCACCTCACCTCACTCGAACTATCAACACATTACTCACATACTCTTGAATCTCGTAAGCACTCTATGAGTATTCAACTCAACATGTGCAGCCATCATCCGGGCGGCAGCGAGCGACGACACCCTTCAGTCAGCTTCACCGCATCCTCCGCAAAGTAGATGTGCTTGTCAATGGGCAAATCTTTCTACTTGCAGGTCTGATGGGTGGACATTTTTCTTGCCGTGTGGTCTCACAAACAGACATCCCATGACCCAGATGCCAGCCCTTTTTACCTGGACACTGCCCACCACCATCATTATCAGCCCACTGGTCAGTAGTGCGGCGGAGGGCGCGTTCCGCTGTCCAGAGCTTGAGGCGCATCACTCGCCTTGTCTGCCAAGCAAGTACTTCAAAAATTTTCATGATTTGAATTCAGCAAAGAAGTCCGTACATTATTCCTCTCTGAAAAAAAAAAGTTTCATTTCTGTAGAGATTGCGCCTTTGCACGTTGTCGTCGTCGTCGACGGTAAAATGATTAACCCCCCGCAAAGCCGTTGGGTGGAACCGATCCCCGACCTCGGTGGTGCAACGCCGCGCTCTGGCCCGCCAGGCGACGAGAAGACTTTGCAAAAGGCGCGGACATCAATCTCTTGACGAGACTCTTCTTTATACTACAATCTTGTGCAATCAAAACTGCCCAAAATCTCAGTCTAGTCCGATTCGTAAAGAAAGACGCAAGCAGCATGTCTCAACCCGGCCCCGAAGCATCGGCCGAAGAGCGCCGACAGGCCCGGAAGCCCATCCCCAAGCCCGTTCCGGCCTACCTGCCCACCGCCGGATCGCCGCTGACGGTCGACAAGACGGCCTACGAAACTATTCAGGTCGCCGACCGTGTCCTCCTTGAAGAGTTCACCATTCCTATTCGCTCCGGCAGAGCCTGGGAAGTACCCCAAGGCTGCGTCGTGCGCATCACCACGCCCGAAGGGCCCCAAGTTGGTACGTCCGTCATCCTTTTCCCCCTCCCCAATTCCCTCAAGTTCTACCTTTTCAAACAAAAGAGTCTTCATTCTCATTCTTCGCCTCTCCTCATCCTTCTCAGGCGACCTCAACATCTGGAACCGGCACAACCCGCGCGAGCGCTTCTGGGCCTCCCGTACGCGGCAGCTGCACGCCTCGCACGTCTCGACTTACGACCGTCTGTGGTCCTGCCTGCCGTACATGCGGCCCCTCGCCACCATTATTCACGACACTCTGTCGTGGTATGGCGACGACGAGCACGGCGGGCGCGCGCACGACCTGCTAGGCACGCGCTGCGACCCCTACGTGAACGCGGTGCTGTCGGGCGCGCAGTACGACTTCCACTGCCACTCCAATCTCACGCGCGCCGTCGCCCCGTTCGGCCTCGTCGAGACCGACGTCCACGACGTGCTCAACATCTTTCAGGTCACCGGGCTGGACGCTCAGGGACGGTACTTTATGAGCCCCTCGCCCGCGCAAAAGGGGGATGCGCTTGAGTTTTTGGCCGAGCAGGACCTTCTCATGGCTTTGAGTAAGTTGGTTCTATTCTCTAGATTCCTCGGAAGCCACTGTCGCCTCTCCGGGGCTGTGTCTGTTCGTCGAGCTAACTTGTTATAGGTACTTGCCCTGGAGGTGACTTGTCGGCTTGGGGTTTTGGCAGTGATAGTGAACAGGAAATGATCAAGTGCTGTCGTCCACTCCATGTACAGGTGTACAGACTCGAGGACGAAGCGCTCCTGCAAAGAGTTGGCTGGAAGCCTGCTACAGTATCTCCTTACAAAGGAATGCACGGAGTCTTTTCGCCCATGGGAGAGCCCAGTCAACGCAAGTAGATAGTAGTGTATCAATTAGTCACAGAAGGCAATGTACAGCTTTCAATGGATCGCCGTGTTAAGTATTGGTACAGTAAGCTATCCTCGCATCACCAAAGCTTTTGCAATCGTGGGTTCATGACCACGTCTTGCTTGCCTAGCACGCCAAAAAGACCACAGCTCAACCACATCCATTTATTTCCAGAGCTTGCCGAGCGACACCTCCTTGTCGTCGTGCTTGTTGAGAATCTTGGCCGTGGCCAGCTCAAAGTCCTCTTGCGTAACGTGTACCCTGCGCTCGCGAAGAGCGTACATGCCGGCCTCAGTACACACACCTTTAAGCTCGGCACCGGAGCAGCCATTCATCTTCTCAGCAATCTTGTTTAGGTTGATGCCACGCGTTAGATTCATCTTGCGACTGTGGATGCGCAGAATATCGGCTCGAGCCTCCACACTAGGGGGCGGGAACTCAATCTTGCGGTCGATACGGCCGGGTCTTAGCAGGGCGGGGTCGAGAATGTCGAGACGATTGGTGGCCATGATAATCTTGATGTTCTTTGTAGGCTCGAAACCGTCGAGCTGATTGAGAAGCTCCAGCATTGTTCTTTGAACTTCAGAGTCACCACCAGAGGAGCCCTCGACACGAGAGGAACCGATCGAGTCGATTTCATCCATGAAAATGATGGAAGGCGCATGCTCACGCGCCATGATGAAGAGCTCGCGAACCATGCGACTACCTTCACCAATGTATTTTTGCACGAGCTCGGAACCAGAGACACGAATGAACTTGCACGCCGTGTGGTGGGCGACGGCACGCGCCAGCAAGGTCTTGCCGGTACCTGGAGGGCCATATAGCAGGACACCCTTGGGCTGTGCGATACCGAGTGACTCGAAGAGCTCGGGATGTTTGAGGCCGAGCTCGATGACTTCCTTGATTTCCTTGATTTGTTGGTCAAGGCCACCAATCATGTCGTATGTGCTATCGGGGACCTTCTCGACCATCATGAGGGAGACAAGGGGGTCGACTGAGGATGGCAGCATCTTTTCGAGCTTGTAGCTGTCCGAAAGTAGTGTGACACGCTTGCCAGCTGTGAGCTTGGTCACGTCGACATTGTCGGAGATGTCAACAACTTAAGTTTTGTATTAGTATCTCTGAACTTGCGTGCGCACGTAAAAAAGGGTGTAATGTAAGCCGTACCATATTTGCCTTCAGGGTGAACCTTGACGAGGACCTTCTTAGTGCCCATGACCTTGACGACCTCGCCTACATAGGACCCAGGTTGTTGAAGTAGGCCGAGCTCTTCTCTGAGTAAGCGCACGCGCGAGTTGTAGTCATTGCGCTGAGCTTCGAGACGGCGAAGGGCGGCCTGACCCTTGAGGATCTCGAGCTTCATCGCCTCAATCTTGTTGTGGTAGTATTCGTCGAGCGCCATGGTGACGGGTGGCCGCTAAGGCAGTGTGATGACGCGCGGAAAGCAGGTTGCGGTGGATTGGTACCAAAACCAATTCGCGTGGCAGATTGTCGATGTGGTTTGAGGAGGCTGTCAAAATGGAGGCGATTGAAACGGCGGTGGCTGAAATTCGAGATGATGGAAAGGTGGATGATGGCTAGCGAAGCTTGGTGGCAAGGCTGCTCGTAAGCGGCACCCAAGCGTTGGCGCAGTGCGTGGCAGCGGGTTGCCTGTGAGAGCGTGGGCGCATAAGGGAGCGAGCGGCACGGAACATGAGTTTTACCGAAGTCCGGTGGAAAGCTAGCAATTCGTAATGAAGCGCCTGTTGTTTGGCGGGTAGCGGGAGTTTTAGTGGTCTCTTTAGCGGGTGGAGGCGCTGAAAGGCGCTATTACGGGGAGCTTCGGAAGCAGCACGGTGTTGCATGCTGACCATCAAAAAGTGTATTACAAAGTAACTATTAGAGATGCATCATAATGTGCATCTTATAGTCGAACAATTGTTCGATGCGTTACCTAGGTCAAACAAAATCTATCAGTGATAAGGAAGCCCAGACTCGGCCCGACTATCATAGGTGTAGGGCACGACTCCTTTGAGCAAACACCTGGCACAAAGAGCATCAACCAGTTATAAATGAGTGTTCCTCAAGAGATAACTAACAGCTGCATCCCTATCGATTCCTACATGCAGCGTTGTCATTTTTGCGCCGCATGAGACTCCATACAGGTTGTATTGCGTCTGCGCCAAGCGGCACGAGGCCATGGCAGACATCACAAGCACTCACAAACTCTCATATATACTCTTGGCCGCGGCAAAGCTGAAAAATAAATACAAGCAGGGCCTTGGGCAACTCGTATCTTCTCCTTTTGCTTCCCCCTTCTTTTACCCTTCCCCATTACCCTCATCTTCAACCGCTCGCGGAGGGCAAGTGCCGCCCTGTGTATTAGCTTCACCCGCCGCAGCCGAAGCTCTCTGCCTGCATCTTGATCACAAACACTCCCCACTGCCGTATACGCAGGCGAAAAGCTTATCCTTTATTACTGCTCCCCCATTGCACTCAGAGCTTCGTTTCCTCTTCTTCACATCGTCCATTCTTACATCCGGTTGCACTCGATTTTTTTCGCGTCACACAACTCATAACTGCCTGTTACATGTCAACATTCAGTCCGGTCATCAACAGGCCTCCCCGGTCAAACATCACTCCACCTCAGCTACTAGCTAGCTTCGTTTGGTGCGCCCAGCTCCCGAACGCTTACTTCTCTTCTTTAGCCTCTTGATTATTGGGATCCGTCTTCTCTTCAGCCTCCAGTCCTCTTCTCGAGTACTGTGCACCTTTCGCCGCGACCTGTTGCCGTTACTAGGCTCTACAGTGTCTGCCGTCATGGAAGAAGACTACGACGATCGCGATCGACGCAGGTCAAGCGCGACCTCGCCAATGAGCCGTCGTGCCACTTCAGCGGCCGAGTCCTCGACTGCTCGCGATGGTGACGGTCTTTCCGAGAGTTTCCAGTCCACCGATACCGTCAGGAGGCGACCCGAGGGCTCCTACGGTCAGTCTACTGTTATTCATTGACCTGCTACTGATGCCTTCTAATACCTCTTAGGCACAATTACCAACACTCCTGAATCGCGACCTTCTATCCAAGACTCGCCACAGACTCCTCGTCAGTCGCAGCCCAGTCGACCGCCTGCCATCGACCGTACCAAGTCGTTTCCACGTCCGCGAAAGCCGCCCCTGTCTAGGCGCCCATCATCCACCACTCCCCATCGCGGTGGGGTCTTCTCGGCCCATGACGATACTCACGAGGTGGAAGCAGACGCTGTTGGCCGCGGATACACTGCCAGACGGCGCCAGCCACCTCCAACAACTCTCTCTCGTGTGCAGTCTCATCGCGACGAGTCTGACGCAGAGCCTCGAGCTTCGGGTACCCGCCCAAGCTCCGTAAAGGACGAGGATGAAGATGACGTTGACGAAACCGACGAGCATGAGCATGAAGACCTTGGACTTGAGGAACATGTCGACTGTGACTCTGAAGGCGACCTGAGCGAAGCTGAGAGCTTCACGCTCAAAGACCGACAGCAGGCCATCAACCAGACGCACCCCTTTGGTATAAGGGTCTGGAAGCCTGCTCTATATAAAAAGGACCGTTCTATCCAAAAGTCTGCAGAGGGTGACATTCATTCCGCCCCAGGGGGCAACGTCAATAAATGGCTCGTCTTGTTCAACCTGGTCTGGACACTCTGCTTTGGTTGGTGGATGGCCATGTTTGCTGCATTCGGCGCCATCATGTGCCTGCTCTTTGCTGCGGCTTCCAGCGGTAGAGAATACGGCCGTGTACTGTGGGGCCTTGCAGGTTACCTCTTTTATCCTTTTGGCAAGTATGTTCGTCTTGAGAAAGATGAGCAGTACATGCACGAAGACGCAGATGAGGGTCGGAGCATCTCCGAGTACGAGCAGTGGCAAAGCGGCGACTTGGAGTACGGCAGACTTTTTTTTGGTCCCGACCGCACTCGATCGATTATTGGACGCTCGCGAAGTAGCGTTGATTCGGTACGTGACGAAACCGACAGTCTACTCGGCCGTGGAAGACGCTCCGATAACACAAACCATCCACGGATGAAGCGAAGATTATTTGGCCGAGGTGAATGGAACATTGGCCGTGTAATCTTCTTTCTCTTCTTCTACTTTCTCATTACGCCATCTCTCATTATTGTGTCTCTGACTTGCTGGTTTCTCGTCTTTTGGATCCCCATGGGCAAGGTCACCATGCTACTATTTGACCACTTGCGCCGTCATCCACTTGCTCTTTCGTTCGAATCTCATCTGGACTATGCCAGGTCTACCGATAGCTCTGATTCGTCTATTCTCCTCTGCACCTACCGTGCAGTAGGCATCAAATACTGGAAGTATACGATCGACGGAACCAACATCTTCCTCATCAATCTCGTGGCCGTTGTTTTCTTCGTCATTTTCGATTGGGCTGTGCTTGATCGAATGTTGCATTTGAACATTTTTGTCACTGGGCCAGCCTTTCTTTTCATTGCGGGCTTGGTCTCCATTATTCCGCTCGCATACTTTATCGGCCAGGCTGTCGCGTCCATTTCCGCGCAATCTTCCATGGGCCTTGGCGCTGCCATCAATGCTCTCTTCTCGACCGTTGTAGAAGTATTTCTGTACTGCGTCGCCTTGGGCCAAGGCAAGGCTCAGCTTGTAGAGGGAAGTATCGTGGGTAGCATCTTTGCTGGTATCCTGTTCCTGCCTGGACTTTCAATGTGCTTTGGTGCTTTGAAGCGCAAAACGCAACGGTTCAACGCCAAATCGGCAGGTGTTACCTCGACCATGCTGCTCTTTGCATCCGTTGGCGCTTTCGGTCCAACTCTCTTTTACCAAATCTATGGCACACACGAACTACAGTGCCTCGGCTGTGAGGACTTTGGCGACATTGGTGGTCATCCTGAAGGTCGTGACTGTCGACGTTGCTACTTTTCGCAGGCGCCAGCTCTTGACGACCGATTCTATCTCGAGGCTGTTCGTCCATATTGCTACATGGCCGCCTTTATGCTCTTCTTCTCGTATCTCATCGGTCTTTGGTTCACTCTCCGCACGCACGCCGCCGTCATCTGGAATTATGAAGTGGAGGAGAAGCGTCAAGAGGAACACATGCATGCATCATCGGTTTTGAGACACTCCCAGCCCTCTGCGGCTGCTGAAACAAGCGGTGCAGATATCCGAGACACGAATCTGTACAAGCGTATCCTAGGCCAGTCCTTGAAGCAAGTAGGTCTATCTACGCAAGACTCTGCCCGCCGGACCTCGTTGAGCAGCACAGACGCTGTAGCAAACGGGGCACCCAGCACTCTGCACGTTGTCCCGCCCAAGAGCGTTGGCAGCGACGGTCGGTCTTTGGGCAAGGCGGCCGCTAGCCTCGGTCAAGGAGACAACTCTGCCCTGGTTCGCGAAGTTGCGGAAATCGCCGCGACTGCTGCTACGATCGCGTCGCGGGATCGCCATCACAGCCGAAAGCCATCTTTTGTGCCCCAGTCCACAAAGCACACGGCATCCCGTGCGGGTGTTTTTGACGATGATGGTGCTGGGCACAGTACCGCTGGGCACGGCGGCCACGACGCGCCAAATTGGGGCCGTGGAAAAAGTTCATTTATTCTTCTGTCCGCGACCATACTCTATGCCGTCATTGCCGAGATTCTTGTCGACACTGTCGACGTTGTCTTGGAAAATTTTGCGATTGATCAAAAGTTTTTGGGCATCACGCTCTTTGCGCTTGTGCCAAACACGACTGAATTTCTGGTACGTTTAGGGCTCTACTAATGTGTCAGTATGGAATGCTAACATGTGTATAGAATGCCATTTCGTTTGCCATGAATGGCAACATTGCGCTGTCCATGGAGATTGGTTCTGCGTATGCTCTACAAGTTTGCTTGCTTCAGATTCCTGCGCTCGTGCTGTACTCTGCACTGTATCCCTACAGTGGTCCGACCGACGACAGCAGCGAGGCAGCCATGCACACCTTCTCACTGTTGTTCCCGCAGTGGGATATGGTGACTGTTATTCTCTGCGTATTTCTGCTCAGCTACGTCTACGGCGAAGGAAAGAGCAATTACTTCAAGGGCAGCATCCTGATCCTCACGTACTTGGTTGTGGTGATTGGATACTACTTCAGCGGATATACATCAGATGCTATGGGTATGGAACGTTTCGATGTCATGGGTGCCGACGGAAAGTATTCGTCTTTCAAAACGATTGGTCGCACGACCAAGGGACGAGCATACTAAGAGAAAAGGAGACTTTGTTTGGCAGCAGTGTATTTTTCCTATTTCCTAGCGCGAAGCGCACCGTCTAGCATTTTTAGGTCATCACAGATATTGGACGTAATCGATGTTAATATTGGCAAATGGATTGATGCTTATGGCGTATGAGTTTTTGGTTGAGAGAAGCCATGTTGGTGCGTGTAGCGTAACGATTGCTTGCTGTCGTAACTAGAACCTGCGCTGGTGGCCATCCACTGCTCTATTAAGCTGCTCTACTTAACAAAAGGAAAGACAAGGTGCAAAGAATTGTACAGGCAAGACATTTGTAACCAAAACAGATGCCAATTCACGACAAGAATCTCCAATGCCGTCAAGGACTCTTGGGTCAATCTGGTGGTCACCGACGCTAATAAGGTGGATGATGCCGACCAAAGGGCGCGGAAAGGGCTCAGCATCGACATGTTTTTGGTCTGCTCCACATGTTGCGCAATTCAGAGCGTGGGTACGTGGGGGTCAAAAGAGAATCCTCAACTTTACTTTATCTCCGAAAAGAACAGTCTCTCTCTGCAGTTGTGTGATTTTGCTAAACTCCGGCCTGCTCACCGATCCCTTACATTGGTAAAAAAAAAAGAGAGAGAATCTGTAGCGGCTGATCACAGCGTGCAGAATACACACAAGACTTGCTATTAATACCAAAGACAAAGAAAACAACAAGCTACTTGGTATACAGCACACAATGTCGATAGAGTTACGGTCCGCAACGCCGCTGAGCCTCGAGACAGCGCTTGCGCGCGCGGGCAAGCCGCCTGGCCAGAGTCAGCAGCAGCAGCAGCAGACAGACGACAGCCGCACAACGACACGGCCGCCGTCTCCATTGGAAGAAGAGAGTGGCCCAGACGGCAGCGTAGACGACGGCAGCCACGGCCGGCACGAGTTTTCGCTGCCGCCGACCGACACGGGCAAGGATGCGTGGTTGTTTCTGCTGGCGAGCTTCATGATGGAGGCGTTTGTCTGGGGTACGGTCTACAAAACATTTATCTTTCTTCCGCACTTGGCCATGGGGGGTTCATGATTTTTTGCTGACTACAATGACCTGCGCCCCCGTCGTAATAGGATTCCCGTTTTCGTTTGGTGTTTTCCAAAGCTACTACTCTACGCATGAGCCCTTTGCGGGCTCGTCCCAGATTGCCGTCATCGGCACCTGCGCCCTGGTAATAACAAAAAAAACTGACTTGCCATCCCCCCGCAATATACTAACCTCGCGCGCAGGGCATCATGTACTTGGACATCCCGCTCGTGATGGCGCTGCTCCGGCTGTATCCCAAGCAGGCGCGGTACGCGCCCGCGGGCGGCATCGTGGTCATGTGCGCGGCGCTGGGTCTCAGCTCGCTCTCGCAGACGACGACGCAGCTGATGGCGACGCAGGGCGTGCTGTACGCGCTCGGCGGGTCCGTCACCTACTGCCCGTGCATCCTCTACATGGACGAGTGGTTCGTGCGACGCAAGGGCCTCGCCTACGGCATCATGTGGTCCGGGACGGGCCTCGGCGGCATCGCCACGCCGCTGCTGCTCGAGTTCTTGCTCGGCCGCTACGGGTTCCGCGTCGCGCTGCGCGTCTGGGCCGCCGCGCTGTTTGCCGGCACCCTCCCGCTCGTGTACTTTATGAAGCCGCGGCTGCCGGCGCCCGCCGCGGGGCGCCGCAGCATCAATCTCGGCTTCGTCTTTCAGCGCACGTTTCTGCTGCACCAGGCGGCCAATGTTGTCGAGGCGCTGGGGTACTTTGTGCCGGGCATCTACCTGCCGTCGTACGCGCGGACGGTGCTGGGCGCGAGCGGGCTGGAGGCTGCGCTGACGCTGCTGGTGGTCAATGGCGCAGCCGTGGTCGGCTGCGTGGCCATGGGCTGGCTGACGGACCGGCGGCCGGTGACGACGTGCATCCTCGTGTCGACGGGGGGCACGGCGGCGGCCGTCTTCTTGCTTTGGGGGCTGGGGCGCGGACTGGCGGTGCTGTACGCGTTTTGCGTGCTGTACGGGCTGTTTGCGGGCGCGTACACGTCCACCTGGCCGGGCATCATGCGGCAGGTGACGGCGCCGAGCGGCGAGGACGGTGCAGAGGGAAGGGCATTTGATCCCATCATGGTGTGTGGCTTTCTGGCCATGGGGAGAGGCATCGGGAACGTGGTGTCGGGGCCGTTGAGCGAGGCGCTGATGGCAAATATGCCGTGGAAAGGCGAGGCCGCGGCTGGGTTTGGAAGTGGTTACGGGACATTGATTGCGTTTACAGGGACGACGGCGGTGATGGGCGGAGGGAGCTATTTGTTTAGAAGAGTAGGATGGATGCCAGCGTAGAGGTGTAGTTGATCTAGGGCCAGATTCAATAAGCGCCCCAGTGAGCGCAGATTGCTCTGAAATCGACATGACAGCACAGAAACAATCCAGTTCACTACCTAGGCGTGTATCGGGTGATATGGGTAAGTTTCGTATGCTAGCAGGTACCAACAAGGAGATCCAAGTACTTGCAGGGCTGCGAGCAACCATGACTGCCAAGTTAGAGCTCATCATCAAACAAGGGTCTACTTTTGCAGAAAGAAACTGCAGGTACGATAGCTGCGCGACAATTGTAAGAGCAGAGTCGATCTTCTTCACGTCCGAGGCAAGCCTTGGACCGCAATGAAAAAAAAGATATGAAAAAAGGCCTGTCAGACGTCCATCAACACCCACCCTACCAGCGCGCCCGAAGGCAGACCGCCAATAGGGTCGAGATCATCAAAAAGGTGCAAGTCGACATGAACCAGCCGAAGCCAGCCAATCACTAACTCGCGCATCTCTCTATACAGCATTGACCCGAAAGCCAAGCCGCCATCCTTTCGGACAGTTCGAGAGGACCAGAAGAAAAGTATTCACTCTAGGGTGTCGAGGATATGCACTCATCAACCAGGGTGGATTCTGTGGCTCTTTTGGGGAACCAAGAGATGGGTCGATTACTATAGAAATGATTCTCCTTGGGGGAGGTTAGCAAGTTGTTTGGAAGATGGCTTTGGAAAGACAGCCCGAAAGGGGAGAACTGTTGCCAGAGAAGGTAGGGGTAGACATACTGAAGTATTGTCGACGTGAAGAAGAAAAGAAGAAAAGACCAAAGTGAAGGCGAGACGGCGCAGCTTTATACTGAGAAATCGGTGGGGCGCTGATTTACTGCCCACCGCCTAAAAGTTTTTGAAAGCCGGCAGAATAATTTTTTTTGGCGGGGCCTTGCAGGTGGCAGACAGCCGTTTGCGCTTTTGGCAGGGGACCTGAGGCTCGAGCGCCTGTGAATTTCTCACTTTTTGGCTGGCAAACTGGGTCCATGACACGGTGGAGTAGGAAAAATTTCGACATTACGATATTGAAATGCCAAATTTTACATGGATGAGGCTTGGAAATTCAAGAGGCTGGTTGGACACCGCTCTGTTCTAGATTGCGGTTGCTGGGTGAGAGGTGGATTGACACGACTGCAGAATGCAAGGGTCTGGAGATTGAACGCAGCGTCGAATCTGGCGGTCAGGAAAAGGAAGTGATTCACTGGATTGAAAAGTTCGATAAAATCGGGGAAGAAGAAAGTCATTTTGAGATTACGCCGAGAAAAAAAACGCGTCGGATCTCGCCAGTCACTGAACTGATCCGGCAAACAGGCGCGTCACCTCGAATTATGCGCCAGGCGGTTGTTGCTACAATACCACTGTGCAAAACGCAGCTACTATGCAAAGCCCATAATGCTAGTTGCTTCACAACGCCAAAACTTGTGAAATCGCAGTAAAATTACACATTCGTCAGTGCAAGACACACATGATATATGCAGACATGGCCCCAATTCTCCGCCCTTTGCTTCTTCAGTCACAGAAATCCTCCTTGCGCCAGGCCCCAAACGCCGTAATCTCGACCAACCCGCCATCGTCAGCAAACGTGCCCTTGGGCGGCCGCGGCCGCCTGTACAGCTCCCGCCGCTTCAGCCAGTCCAGCACCAGCGGATAGACGAGGCCCTGCGCTGCCAGCGGCCCTTGGTCATGCACGAGCCGCCGCACCTGCGAGCTGCTCACGCCCGCCGACGCGCCGCCGGCGACTTCGTCTGGGAGCACGCGCACCTTGTGCATCCACGCCGAATCGCCGCCGACCTCGTCCAAGCTGCGCACGCCCGTCGCCGACGCCGACGTCGCCCGAATCTCCCCGTCGCGAGCTGCCAGCGCGGCAATGTGCGCTCGCTGCTCCTCGAGCGTTCCGTGGCCGTCGTCGGGTCGCAGCATCACCCGCAGCGACGCGTGGGCGAAGAAGGGATCCAGCGCCTTCATCATCGGCGTGTTGCGCGGCCTCTTGGCCGCCGGCATAGTGGTGAGGTCGTCTGGCTGTGATGAATGTTGTTGTTGTTGCGCAGATGGCTCTTCCGCCACCATCTTATCCTTGCCCTTGCCCTCACAACTTGCACTCTGTGCAGCCTCATTCAAGTCTGCCTCGTTTTGACTGACCTCTGCTGCCACAGCAACACCATCATGATGAACCTTGCCCCTTCGGTCCTCCCCTGTCGCCGCATCCTCCGGCTCGTCTCTGTAGTACTTGGGGTCCAGAATTCGCACCAGCGTGTCAAAGCCCGTGATAAATTCCATCGGAGGTATTGCAGCCTTGCCTGGCAGCCTTCGCCCACGCTCGTCGCACTTTTTAAATGTCATAAAAGGCCGCATGTGCGGATACCAACTAGCCGTGCGCAGCGCGTGCGCCTTGCCGCTGAAGAAGGCCTCGGACGTGAGCGCCATCTCAATGGGCACGCTGTCGCCCTGCCGCCGCAGATCGTCGTGTAGGTGCCGCGCAAACGCGTAGATCATGGCGAGACGGTGCTCAAGGGGCGCCGGCGCGGCCGGCTTGTCGGCGTTGGCGACGGCGAGCAACAGCACCAGGCGCGTCTCGGGTCGCACGACCGCCGCCACTCCGCCGCCGCCGCCGCCGCCACTGGCCACCGACCCGACAAGGGCCGCGCACCGCTCCGCCTCGGCCACAGCCGCCCGCTGCTCCTCGAGAACTGCGTGCACCGCCGCCTTGGCCATGTGCGCGTGCGCCCGCGTCGGCGGGTTGAAGCTCGCGTCCAGCACCAGCAGCCGCGACTGCAGATCCGCCGGTCGCGCCCCCGCAAACGTACCCTCGGGCGGCGCCTTGCCCTCGTCGACCTCGGTCTCCGGTGTCGGCTTAGGCGCCGGCTCGCCCGCAGCCGCCGTCCGCGCCGCCGCCGCAGAAGCCTGCTGCCGTTCCTGCGCAGCGCGCATGTGCTCCGCTTCCCGCTGCCGCGCCCAATGAGTCGGCATCGGCGTGCTGGAGTGGACTAGCCGCAGCTTGTCCGTCGACGCCCGAAACTCCTTGAGCTTCGACGCCAGCCGGTCAAACGTGTAGTCGGTCGGCATCGTGTCCGACAGAAAATTCTGCCCGTCACGTAACCGGTGACGTCTTCTGATGAATCTTGGCATGGTGCACGTATAGAATGATGATCGCTTGGATGGTGTATAGTCCAAAGTGTAGCGGCGACCCCTCACCGGAAGCGCCCGCGGCTCTTGGTCCGCGGCACGGCGCGCTGTGAGCCGCAGCGTAGTATATGCACCCAGCCAATCCTTCGCATTGCCCACCAGCATTATTATGAGTGGTGTGGCAAAGGTGGCGTTAAGTATCAGCCGTGAAATAGCTTTGGAGAAATCTACCTGTATCATTTACTGTAGGCTACATCAGTCTGGTCAATGATACCCCATGGAGCCATGTAGGGTACTAGGGCGTTTTCAGCGACTATCATGTGCTGTTGAGAAGTTGCTGATTCGCCGGTTTTTTGGAGTGCGTTGTGCTATTCTATAGGTATAAGAAATCGGAAAAGAGTATTGCTATGAGTCTTTTCCTATAATCACCCCGAAAGTCACAGTTGTGAGCCTGACTCTGAAATAACGATGAGCTGTGACAGGACCGAACACAGCATCAAGGGTTCCACACTTGCTAATCATTATTTTTTTTTGATATTCTCATGGAAACGTCCATTTACCTTTGACCAGGTCTTCTAATTCTTACATCTTACATCATTTAAAAGTCTCATCTCGCATGATAAGGGAGCGATAGCGCTAGAAGTGGCCAATTATTCTTTGGCCAAGGCATCGTAGGGTTCAATCTCAGCTGCGCGCTAACAAGACAACAAATTGGCTCCGCTCTATCTTCTTTCGTCCAACAGCCTTTTCAAGGGCTATGCTCGGCGTTTTGTGATGCATCCATTACTCCATGTGAAAACCACTCCGCAATGGTACCAAATTTGTCATCGCTTCTTTCCAGAGCAGATTTAAAGAGCTCATGCTTATCGACTTCTTCCTGTTGACCTCTTCGAATCTTGCGGATCATGTCATTCCCAGTCGCACACTTTGGACATTCAGCATCTTCCTCCGTGCCACTCCGCAAGCATCTTTCATGGAAACTGTGCTTGCACAGGAAGTGCACGGTCGGCAGGTCCAGTCCCTGTCCGCATTCAGCGCAACGAGTGGCCTGGAAGATGGCAGGCTTCGAATTGAGCTCTTCAATTTCCACTCGTCGCTTTTCTGTATCTGTGCGCAGAGTTCTGATTCTGTGACGGTTACTCGAAATCTGCTTGCGCTCGCGACTAATTGTCTCCTGCAGATAGGGCTTAATCATGCCCATTGTCGCAAACCCGCCACCAGCAGACTGGCCAACTAATGTTTGAATGACTTGCAAGGGTGCCATCAGACCATCCTTGTCAATTTTGGCCAAAATGCCTGCAAGTTCGTCCTGCCCCGCTTCTTCCAGAATTTTGGGGTCCGAGGTTAGGTATGCCAGAGCGGCAGGATATAGCTGAGGCTCGTCCGACCCATACTTTCGCAGTGCTTTCATTGCTCCTTGAGTGTCGCGCGCCGAGGTATATGACCGGAATATGTCTGATAGGAGACCAGCTTGCTCTTTCACGAGCACGGTGCCATCCTTGAAACTAGACAAATGCGACAACAGGAGAACATTGGAGCTTTCCATGGGCACATGCTCACCCTCAATCAGCTTTTTTGCCTTTGCCTCCCACTCTTCCCGGTGCAGACCCTTTTTCTCACCCGCCTTGAACAGATACATCTCGAACAAGGTTGTGTACAAGTCTGTTTGATCCGACGTTCGAAGATTGCTTTCTTCGAGGCAAGCTTCCAAAAATGTAATAAACTCATCTGGGTGATCGATAAATGACGAGAAAGCCGTTCTCGGCTCGGGTGGTGTATATTTAGGAGGCGGATAGTCATCTTCATTCGGCGGAGGACCCTCCACTGTCGGTTTGGTGCTGCCAGGTGTGCCTGCCGCTGAGGCGGGACTGATGTACGGCAAAGTGAAGAGACTTGATAGATTTTGAACGGCACTGGCAGCGCCGGAAGTAAACGCGTTCGACGGGTGGCCGGCACTTTCAATTACTGCGATGGGTGTTCGCTTCGGTCTGTATCGACCGGTATAATAATCGCTGAATAATTTTGTCGCTTGTCCCGGGCAGTGTTCAATAAGAACTCTAGCATACTTCCTCAAACAAGGATACGCCTTTGACGAAGGGATTAGTACACCGTGCGAGGAACATTGAAACTGAGCTTACAATTGTTGGATCCTGGTGCCAAATGTACTCGAGCGCAGCGGCATAGTTCCTGGAATCCTCGATCAGGATATCGACCACCAGCTCCGTTTCGCCATGCTTCTTTGCCAAATAAGCGGCCTGTTCGTAGTATCCGCCCTGTCTGCACATTGAGATCGCCGTGTCAAGGTCGAATTTGAGGTCGCCAGGTGATTCTATAAACTTCTCGAGCTTCTCCTTGTCTTTGAGCTTGGCATAGCAATTCAGTAGTAGCGTTGTGTGGTCTGATGTTGCCTTTCTATGCTCATGCAGCTCTTCCAGGTACCTGATTAGGTTATGTATTCGTTGCGTATCGAGGAACTGTCATGATTAGTCTGGTACTCGAACAGTGCAGTGCGTGAATACCAACCTTTCTAATGACTTGCGAGGGTTCGGTGGAGTCAATTGCTCGAATGTACTGTACCATTGAGCCATCGTAGTCGGCCTTCTGGTATAAATGATCGCCAAATTTGCGATATATGACACTCTGCTCCTTGCTGTTCATGCCTGAGTTTCGTGCAAGCTCCAACGCGAGTGGGAACATGTTACGTTGGTATATCATATCCAATCGTTGCTGCAGTGATTTCTCATGGTAGCGGTTTACCTGGGCGAAGGTCTCAGTGATTAGTTGTCATCGAGCCGTCGAAGCGGAGTTCTTACCTTGCCCTGCTCGGTGACTGTGTAGATATCACCCCAAACTTCGAAGATAAACTTCACTGGTGAGACCAGAGTCTCTGTGTGCGCAATGATGCGCAAATCAGGCTCGAGTAGCACGAATGTGGACGAATCAAACAATCCGTCTGCTCCATTTGTGAAGCGGCGACGTAGAGAATCTGGCTCATTGCTCGAGGCCGGCGGGCAAGCCAGCGCCATGTAGTCCTGATGTACAGCAATCATCTTCTTTGGCGTGTCATACGCCTTCGGAGGGCCACGTCCGTCCGCCTTGTACGTGTAGATCGCGTCTTCTCTCGCCACGACAATGTCACCTGTGACAGGGTCTAGAGTCATGCAACCGACCGGGCAGCCACTATCTTCGACGGTTTTCGGCGGAAGTCCCTGGCCTCTCTTTGACAAGCCAAGCTTAAGTATCCTAGACGTAGTTGACACAAAGAGAGTTGTGATTTTCTCATCTTCCATAAGCTGCACCCCAGTGACTGGCTCTTCGGATTCGTACACGATTCGCTGTTTGGTTCCGAGGTCGTGGATCAAATCGCCGCGAATGACCGTGACGGCCCCATTGGCAAAGCCGACCGCAATTTGTGAGAGATCGTCCAGCGCAGCAAAAGCTGAGATCTGTATCAAAATCAGAGTTATGAAACATCGATGCAAAAAGTAGTACGAACCGGAAATTGTCGCCTTCCATTGTTGATGTTGATGGTACTCAGGCACGTGGGCATATTTGTCTTCTTGACGAGCTTGTCGAGAGCCCATGCCTTGAGAACCGGCTCGCCGCTCAAGTCTTCCTGGAGAACTGTATCAGAAATCACACATTTGCGCAGCTCCCACAGCGCCTGACTTACTGCGACCGTGACGAGTATGCTGGTTCCTTCAACTTGGCGCATATGCGTAACTTGTCCTGCATCATGCGCTTGGAACTTGTTCACTACCTTCCAATTCTTGCCAAGAATACTGACGGAGCCGTCGGCTGATCCTAAAAACAGGCTGTCCGAGCCAGCGCATACGCTCGAGACATCGTTGCTTTCGAATAGCTGGGCGGCCTCGGCCTCGGGAGGTGATACCTGAGAGACGTCAAAGAAGTCGAACGACTTCCACTGCATAGGGTTAGCATGTAAGCAAAAAGCCATAGGGAATGAGTTGCGCATTAATTCAAAGTGCGACAAATTCGTTGAAAAAGCTTACCGAGATGGCCATTTCGCCGCACGATGGAATTTGGTTGCTCAGGATCGGGAGAATGCTTGGAAACGCGCAGCAATGACGATGGTGGGACACTGACAGCAAGGGTAGCTCCGCGGTGGCGCTAACTCTACGCTGTGGCTGGTCCGCCAGGCTCCGTGGCCAAAGGTGGTATTTTGTTGCTATCAGATTTATTATGTGTGTGTACGTGCACTCCACCGATTTATACATTGTTTGAAAGAGACAAGGGAGACGCTTTCTCATTGAGAAGAATATATGTATTCATGCTTTCAAAGGGCAACTTATTCAATCGTGCACTAAGTAGCGGGTATCTTGCCAAAGTTCCCCCGTCCTGTTTCTCATCTCGGCCTTCTCTCTAGTGGCTTCCTGTATTAATTCATGTCTCGGCCATCGTCTTGTTGCATCAAAAATATCTTAGAATCCAACCAGGCTGTGTCACCTGCGTAGCTTTACCACTCGGCCTTTGGATTGGCAAGCCCGTCGTTTGGCACCTCCATCGGACTTGCCAGAGGAGTGCCTGGAATACCCAGTCCTCCTCCAATGCTGTCTGGTCGACCGTGGCCAACACGTCCGCTTCTTACGCTGGCACCATCGCCTTGTTTTGTATAGATGCTATTTCGGTCGTTCGCCATAGCAGTAGCGGTCCCTGTAGTCGAGTACATACTAGTTCGCTCTGCTCCAAGTCTAGGGCCGCTGGAGTGCACTCCTTGAATCCCACCCTCAACATTTGAACTGAGCACGCTGAGTGGGAGACTCTCACGACTGCCTCCCCAGAGGGACGAAGGAGCTAACGCTCTCACTGATGCGTCTGTGTCCATCGATCGACGCCTGCGCCGCTTGCTGGATGAAGCGAGAGTCAGAATAGAAGCGTTATCAGTCAGTAAGTTATTTGCAGTCGCTGTCGTATATGTGGTCGGGCTACTTGGTGGCGCCAAGTGCGCAGGTATCGCGGATGCTGGAGATTGCGTGGTGAACGGTTGACTGAACTGTATTGACTGGCCGTTTGAGCCACTCGGGTTGTTCTGGGCTGCTTGCGTGTTATTATTGGGTCCGATGGATTGTATTGTTGTCAAAGTCGTGGTCAAAGAGCGGACCGAAGGAGCCGGGCTCGAGAAAGTGCTGTCACCACCTCGTCTTGATTCGACACCTCCCCCTACGGTCCGACTGGTGCCTGCAAGAGAGCTGGCGCCATGGCTAGGGGCATTGAGCGACCGTGCAGTATCATTTTCTGTTGAGACGGTCCCAGCCATGCTCCTTCCGCCGGCTGTTGGTGGTGCGAGGTCATCTACCGAATATCGGCCTGAATGGCCACCGATCGAGGTATCGTTGGTCTGATGGGTTGCAAACGAATGCTCGCTGTGTCGATGTCTATTTCCATGATCTTTACTGATAGTTCCGGATTCAGGATACGGGTTGTTCAATTTGCCGCCTCGGCGGGGTTTCGAATGCCGCTTGTTTCTTTCGGAGTCTGACGAATTCTTGAAGTTGGTGAGCTTCTTGACCCAAGTCGTAAATGGGCGCCTTCGCTGCGCTTGACGATCTGCTAGGCGTAAGCAAGATGATGACCGTTGCGACGAAGACTGATAAATGACGTACCCTGATTTCCCTGAATCATGTCCTCGGTGGTCATGGCTGGCTCTGGTCGCTACGTTGGACCAGTCACAAAATGCTGTTGGTAAAATGGGCCGTCCGACTTGCAATGTAGCTTTGTCGTTTTCGATGGCAACGCGATGCCTTTTCGCCTCTACGGTTTGCAGATAGTATGTAGTTTGTAGTTAGGCCGTCATGGGGCACCGCGCACGATGCTGTCGGAAAGAAGGCGAGAACAAATCCATCACGTGACTGCGTTGCAAGAAGACCGTCACCACAAGGTTTCTGACAGGTTCTCGAAGCGATGATTAGACTTCTGGAAGAATTAATTGAGGCTCTAAAATTGATACGGCTCAAATGTGTATTGCGAACCCCGCCGAAGCAATGCGTGGTGGCAGGATCCTGCCATGCCTCAAGCTACCCCGGTAGAAAGTGGTGCCAGCTTGGTTTAGTGGAGCCACAACCATGCGAAGTCGCCGAGAGTCTCCTTGTCTCCGTAATTGCTCTCTATCACATCAATACTGATACCTACAAGATGGCACCGTCATGTTGCTTCTCATGCCATGTCTATCCGACCGCTGCCTAAAGATGTAATTGACAAAATCACATCATCATCATCCATCGTTTCGCTAAACGGGGCTGTCTGCGGCCTCGTGAGGAATTCTTTGGATGCTGGCGCTCGCAAAGTCAATATCGTCCTCGACTATGTCCGCGGAAACTGCACAGTAGAAGATGATGGCGAGGGCATCTCAGCCGAAGAATTCAGCGTCAATGGAGGTCTAGCAAAACCAAACAGTATGTCTTGAAAGCGCATGACCCTTTCACGATACTCATACATGTTTATACAGACACATCACGGTTTCCTCATTTGTCGAGCTATCATGGCCGCCACGGAAACTTCCTCGCTTCGCTTGCAGCGCTATCGCTCGTCATCATCACGTCAAACAGTGGAAATGAAAACAAGTCTAGCTCTGTAGCCATTCATCACGGGGTCGAAATACCAACAGAGGCCACCGATCCCGCTGTTCAGCACTGTGCTTCGTTCAGCAGTGGTACGCGGGTTGCTGTTTTCGACCTGTTTGGATCAATGCCTGTACGGGTAAAGCATCGAGCTTCCGTCTTCTCTGCACCGCCATATCTTGAAAAGGAATTCAAGGCACTCACATACGACCTGACTGCTTTACTGCTAGCCTGGCCCATGGGTGTTTCTATACTTTTGCGCGAAGCACGACGGGATTGTCAGCTACGCCTGAAAAGTGGTGATGGTTTGACCCTGGATCAGCGGACCTCTCGCCTTTTGATGCAAGCAGGACTATCGGATTTTACTGAAGCCACTTCATGGGTACCTGTAGCCGCATCTAACGGCAGCCTTTCTGTTGACGGATGCATCAGCACAATTCCTGTCGCAACCCGGTCTTCGCAATTCATCAGTCTCGGAATCCATCCTATGGAGCGCTCTATGGGCGGAAACGTCCTCTTTGAAGAGGTCAACGAGATATTTACATCCTCAAGTTTCGGCATCCTCGAGGATCATGGTTCAAGTGAAACTCTGGCGGATGATTCCTCCGCTGCACAGTGCAAGCCTAAGAAAGGTTTAGAGAGGTGGCCCATGTTTTACTTGCGGTTCAAGAGCAACGCTGCGAACGCCGAAGATCTTCTCAGGCCGCGTAGTCCAACCTTGGCGGGCATCATTAGCCTGCTGCGCGCTGTCTGCTACGCTTTCCTGAAGAAGCACAAGATGCGCCCTCGAAAACGGATGCACAATCGCCGAAGAATCTCTCCAGTAGAGGGAGATGGACGATTATTGCAAGACGGCCGATCCGGCGCGGAAGCGCCGAGATCCTCAGAGGAATTCCTCTGTACATTCGATAATTGGCGTCGAATTAAGGTCGGCCATCGTGCGGGTGTTACCTTTCCACAATCCAGCAATAGCCTGAAACATCTGATTGGCTCCAGGGGACAGCTTTTACGCCCACCTTTTGTTGAGGAAAGCCATGATGAATCTTTTGCTCACAGTCTGTGCAGCGACGCCGACATTCATTCTATACAGAACTTTTCGACGAGAAACTTGGAAACATTGGAGACGCATTGCCGAGAAGGCCACGATAATTGGCTCGCTAAGCTCGATGAATCTTGGAAGAATCCCGTGTTTGAGACGGTCGAATCTGCAGTGCATCGACTGCCCAATGAGCTGTGCTTTGAGCTTTGCGAAGACAGCAAACGTACCTCTGCCTCGACGACCAACATCAGCGGTCGAATTGCGAAGAGCTCGTTGGCAAACGCGGACATTATTGCCCAGGTGGACCGCAAATTTGTACTGATCAAATTGCCTCTTGTGTCCCCTGTTGACGGCGACGCATTGTGCACGAATTCAGCCCAACATGCACTATTTGCAGTCGATCAACACGCAGCGGATGAGCGTTGCCGGCTGGAGGAACTTATGTCACACTACTTTGAGCCGGAAGAGCATAAGATGAGCCCGGCTATCGAACCCCTGGACAATCCCTTATATTTCGACGTTGCTGCAAATGAATTCGCGTTGTTCACTAAGCGGAAGGCGTTCTGGGAGGGATGGGGTATTAGGTATCAGCTGCTGGGAGCTGAGAAGGGTAGACATGGTAAAGAGCCCCTGACAAGAATCATGGTGACCGGGTTACCGCCAAGCATCCTTGAGCGGTGTCGCGGAGAACCTCGGCTGTTACTTGACCTTTTGCGCAAAGAGATGTGGGACGGGGAAGACCAACCGGGCTTCGTGCCTACAAGAGCGTCGTCAACCCCAAATTTTCAAGGCTGCCCGCGTGGCATATTGGAGCTACTTCATTCCAGAGCTTGTCGAGGTAAAGCCGCTTTAAGAGTATTCTGAGAAACCTGCTAAACAGTGGTACGCAGGTGCAATTATGTTCAACGACGAGCTGACATTGGCGGAGTGTACCTCGCTCATTCGACGACTTGCCAAATGTTCACTGCCTTTTCAGTGCGCGCACGGCCGACCAAGTATGGCGCCTCTCGTGGAGCTGGGCAATAAAACATGCAGTGTACTTCGCACACTACCGGGCGTCGCTTTCCAGGATGACCCGCAGGCGTCTATCATGCCTAGTGCAGGCGCGTGGGCAGATTGGATGAGCTGACGCGGATGATATTCTAAAGGTCCCGGGCATAGATGTGTAGAAAGCGTGGCAGCAGCCGCCGTTTGCGACCATTGATGCCGTCCGCCGGGGGTCACACAGTACTTGATATCGTCGCACAAGTTGTAGTTGTTGTTTTCTCGGTGTCCCTTACAGGACCTCATGAATGCTAGACTGCTGCTCAATATATGCTAGACGATGCCCTCGGACTACAGCCATCCTGACTCCGTTCTGACTCCGTTATGCTAAACACAAATGCTTCCGTGATGCTCCAAATCGTAAAAGTCTATGCTAACAATGCATGACGGCATCGTTGTCGACAAGGTCGACTGGCCACTCAGAGACGCCCTTGACGCACAAGCTGTTGCTTCTTGTGCAATGCCGCGGCGTCCTTGAGACGGCCACGCTGCTCAGGGTCATCCATGACCCATTGCTTCAAATCGTGATCCCACTGGTGGCTTTGGCGTCTGTCAGTAGCTATTCAATGTTTCCCCAGCATGTTGGATATGACGTGTTACTCACTTCTGATGTGTTTCTTTGCTCAATGACTTGTGCGAGTATTCTTGCTTTAAAATGTCCTCGACATTATAGGGAATTCGGGCAGGCACTCCTTCGAATTCAGTCACCCGCAGCGGCCAGATATCCTGCGCCGCGTAGCGGTGGCCGTTCTTGCAGGACCATTCGCCGGGTCGCCGCCGCGGATCGCGCTCGCCGAGGACAGTAATATCGACAAACATGCCGTTTTCCGTGTCGATCCAGCGTCCATCAATGACGTTGTTGCCGCCGCCGCCGCCGCCCTGAGAGCTGCCATCTACGTAATGTGGGTTGATGTCAACAAGATATGTGCGAGTGCGCGAGCCATTGGTGGCACCAACAGCCGCAGCCTCGTCAATACCCCCCTTTCCGAATGTGTATTTGTGCGTGGTACCATTCAAGTTGCTCGCGAGCCACTCCATCGTCCCGTTGGAGACTTGCACGTCGAGGTCATAGTCCCACGGCATGATGCGCGCGTTCCACCACCAACCGAGCAAGGTACCGTGCGCCAGCCACGTCTCGACGCCCTTCGAGCGCATGACCTCGAGGTAGCTGCGGACAAGGTCGCGCAGGATCGACTGGCGGTCGTCGTAGGCGGCCTCCCCTTTAAAGTAGCGGATGTCGTAGTGCATCCGCGCCAGGGATCCCCCAGGCTCGTGAAAGTACTTGGGAGATGATGCCGCACGCGGTTCTGGGTGGGAGTGGACGGAAGCGGCGCATGTTGCAAGTACAAATATTGCGGCAAGAATCGATTGAATGCCAATCGCCATGGTGTAAAAGGACGAGCCTTTTGGCTGAATTAAAAGCGTGGCAGAAGGTGTTGGGTAAAAGCGAGTCTCCTGTGAGCTCGCTGCTGGCTAGAATACCACTTGTCGATCAAAAGCGCGAATGTGGTTGACAAGGCAATGGTAATGCGAGTGTGCCAGCTCGAACTTTTTATAATTGCAGTATATCGGAAGGGCTCTCAACATCCCCTCAAGGGGTCAAGTCTATGTTTAAATCAGTATAGAATGAAAAGATGGCCGCGTGACGCAAGTCCCGTTTTAGCTTTCATCGTTCGCTAGCTTGGCCTGGTGTCGCGTGAGTGGCTCCACTGGGCGTCGTCATCACGGCGAGCGCCATTGATTGTTAAGAAAAGCTGCCTTTTCACAAAATTCTCGATGGAGAAGAAGCCAACAGCCAGGCCAATCCGAACGAGATTCAAGACCAATGGCCGGAGCAGAGGTCGTGTTTCTAAACTTGAGTGCAATTGCGGTGACAGTGGTACCAATAGTGCAAGCAAAAAAGCCCAAATAAAAACTCAGCAACGTTGGATGGAGCTTATGGCATTGCACGGGCTTCTGCGACACATTAAGCAGAGCCAGGCCTCTTTCAAAAATATCCGCCTCCCTTCCAAATGCCTTGATGTGTCGGAGACCGTTTGCTGTCTCGGCAAAGTGTGTATGAAGTGGCGTCTTGTATTCGAGGTCAAGATGACGCATCTGTCGGGAAATTTGCAGGCAAGGTAAAAATGAACTTGAATGGCAGAATCCAGTGGCGCATGCAAGGATGATGCCAAACATGACCAGGATATGAAACAACACTGAGGGCCAAGCCTTCCTTCCAGATATTATCGGGAGACTATTGCAATCAGGGGAAAAATACCAAGCGCCCTCTGAGGTGTGTTGGGAAGCTTTTTTGTCATCAACCATGTGCTCCGCTTAGGAAAGTCGCGATGGTTGTAGGAGTTCTCGCTGCTGGGTAACTAATTAGTACAGACAGACTCATCAATCAAGAAGAGTAGGAGTTCTCGCTGCTCGGTAATTTTTACAGGTAGCTTCATCAATCAAGAGGAACTGTAACCAACAGAATCCGTCAATTGACACCTCCAAGACCCCCTGCACCAACACGCAGAGTAGAGCTGAAGAGCTTGGTTACTGCCAGAAATGAAAGCAAGTGCATTATAGAAATTAACTGATCGCATTTACCAAGTCTACGACCAAAGAATGAGAAATCATTAGCCAGAGCGAAAGAGGTAGGCGCTTTCATTTTTTTTCTTAGAAGCGATGTCCCTTTTTTAACTAATCCTGCGGTTGTGTTGCCGTCTACCAACCTGAGCCCAGAAGATCATAATATATTTCGGGTCATAGCAGTAATAATAATATAATAACGAATTTCTATTCTCCCAAGTTCTTATATTCCTGCTATGTTTCCCAAGTGAATCATTATTATGTGTGCGTGTGTCTATTAATGTCTTTACTGCGCCGTAGAGTAGGCTTTAGCGGTGCTCGAGGGCTATTAACAGACTCTTGACACATGATTGCACCCACCAAGTAGGCAAGTTTGCCGACAGACTACTCTAATCTCAAACTTCGAAGTTTATAAGGTGATAATTGCCTAAGCACAGGGGTAGTCGTGTACTACTCTTCAAGCTCTCCCATAGCTTGTCGTCAGTACGTGTTGCCATGGCAGTCGCGGTCGCGATACACCACGACGCTGATGCAGCCCCAACATTGACAAATACCACCCTTCCTCACACCTTGGAGAATGTCCTGTCGACCGTCTCCTTGATCTTGTCCACAATTCTCCCAATGTCCTCCTCGGTACTCGTGTAGACTGGTGATACCAGCACGTGGTCACCACTCACCCCGTCCATCGTGCCCGTCCCCGGATACAGCATAATGCCCGCGTCCATCAGGCCGGTGGTGTGCACTGCATTCGCTATGCCGGCTTCCGCCGGAAAAGGCGTCTTGTTCTTCTTGTCGCGCACAAACTCAATCTTGAAACATGTCAGCGCGCCTGTCACCCGTTGCGACCCGGTTACACTTACACCCCAAAAGAGACCCTTTCCTCGTACATTGCCCACATTCGGATGATGGTCAAGTTTCTGGTGTAATAGCTGGCCTAGTAGCTTTCCTGTCTTCTTCACATTTTCGACGAGCTTGTCTTCGCGCACGATTCGCTGCACCTCCAACGCGGCCGCGCAGGCGACTGGGTGGCCCTGATACGTGTGGCCATGGATGAAAGCCCTAGAGTCCGATTAGCGGAGCGGTTGTTGGAAAGGTGTACGCATGAACAAACCCAGTTCCTGCCGCCAACGTATCTGCGACGCGGTGATTGATCATCATCCCAGCCACAGGAGCATATCCTCCACCCAGGCCTTTCGCCATGGTCTGTATATCAGGCACCACACCCTCCTGCTGCCACACATGCAAGGATCCGCAGCGACCCATTCCAGACATAACCTCTGCCACAAAATCAGTCATTTGCTTTTTCGAAAATTGAGTTACACCAACCGTCTAGAATAAGCAGCGCGCCGTATTTATCGCAGACTCGTCTCATGGCCTTGAAATACCCGGGGACGGCGGGAACACATCCCAGTGTCTGTCAAAAAGGAACGACCTATCAGTGCCCATGCTTCTAGTCATGAGTTTTGAAAACGCACCGCTCCGACAACTGGCTCAGCAACGAAGGCGCAGACCGTATCGGGACCAACTTGCTGGAACTTTTTGTCAAGCTCATTCGCCAATTGCTCAACATACTCCTCGGTTGTTTGGCCAGGCTTCATGCCTCTGTAAGCATAGCATGCCGAGACTCGGTGCACGTTTGGAAGAAGCATGTCAAGGAACAGTTTTCGTCGGGCCACATGTCCACTCATTGACAGTGAGCCCAGTGTCGTGCCGTGATAAGACCCCTCTCGCGCAATGAATTGTGTACGCTTTAGCTCTTTAGGGCTCAGCTCCGTGTAGTACTGCCGTGCCATTTTCATAGCTGCATCCATGGCTTCAGATCCTTTCCAGATGTCAGTAAGTGACTTCTAAGTTGGTGATTTTTTTCGCGCGTGGACGTGACAAACCAGATGACAAGATGTACGCCTTGGCCATGGCGCCACCTGTTCCATTAATGAGCTCCGTGGCCAGATCCTCTCCCACCTCATGACCAAAAAACATAGAGTTGCTATAAGAAAACTTGTCCATCTGATCAATCATGGCCTGCCGAACCCTCTTGTTCCCATGTCCCAGGCAGGCCACTGACGCCCCGCCCGTGGTGTCCTCTATTTCATGTCCACACGAAAATCTTATGCGCGTTCCTTTTGCATCGACTACTTGCATCGGTGGCGCCTTGATGTTTCTGTGCAGGACTGCGCTTTTGGCGCCCGGGGCTGACTGGTGGTTCATTGGGGTCGCAGCTGCAGCAGTCGAGACATTACGGTGAGCAACCCGGTTGACGGAGAGTACCCCGGACCCTACCGCTCTTTGATGTGCCCATCTCGAACCGCCGGTTATGATTGAGTATCCCAGGGGCGAACGAGTTCGAAATGTTGCCATGTTGCCGGCTCAGTCAATAACGAGGAGTAGCAGACTGGTTGACGATAGCAACAGACGATTGCGTGAGAGGGGTTTATTAGCCTATCCGTGTTTGCCATCTCGCAGCACCATCTTGCGACATCGGGCAGCTGTCGGACGCCAAGGTAAGGGACCTGGTCATCTGGCCAGGCGTAAAAGACAGGGCGCCCATCACAGACTTGATGTCGTGCGAGGCGGGGTATGCTGCTTGGCTGGGCTGCCTTTGACATTTCGGATGCGCCCCTCCGAGTTTTCCTCCGGTCCCTGCATTCACCGCTATGATGGGAATACCGGAATCATCAATGCCTGTAAGTTCAGTTGAAACTAGCATCAGCTGTGCAAATTCGTAGATTTTTCATCTCGCATCTGGATCTATCACTACAAGATCCGCAGTTGGATGGTTAGTTGCTTGGCCTCTGGAACAAGCTCTGGTGCCGTCATCGGTCATGCACGTTGACACGAAAACAGGAAACAAAGAAAGAAGGAAAACTTGCATGTTAAGATATCCACATCATATCGCGCGGCCCGACGCAGCCTCTACAAAGTAATGGTTGCAACATCTGCTTTTGTGTCGCACTTAATCTCACATCCAAACGCTGCACGTGACGCCCTGGCGTTGCTAGGATTACGAAACTTTTAGCCATTTTGGCCTATCAACCATCAGCTTGGTACACATTCATGAACAACGCAAATCGCAAAATACCCGGCGTAACACGCCCATGTATGCGGGACTCGCGGCACTATTCAGGGCGCGAGCCATTCGGCTCGGTGCACCTCGATTTAGTGCAGCCGCATCGAGCCCGAATCTCGCACAAGGGCGTTCGCAGTGTCTAGACCAGCGCTCTCTGCACCTGAGCGCCTCCTCCCCGACCGCCGCCACCGCGCGCGACACAGCCGTCCAAGCCGACTCCAAAGACGGACGAGTCGAGGAAACCGCACAAGTCAGCGAGATAGCCCAGACGAACCTGGCCCGTAACAGGGAGATTCGCCACGCGTACCGACACAAGACGCCCGAGACCGAAGCCGCCGTGGCCGAGATGCTCGGCACCACGTACATCCCGCCCGCGCGGCAGTACCCCACCGCCGAGGCCACCGCTCTGAGCCTGCAGCGCGCGCGGCTCGTTGCACGCATCCGTGTCGGCGAGGAGACGCTCGCGGCCCGGGCCGGCCGGGTTCGCCGCCGCGACGCCCTCGACACCCTGGGACTGCTCAAGCACACGACGCAGCCGCACGTCGCCGGCCGCGCGCCCGCCATGCACGCCATGCGCATCGTGCTGCCCAAGACGTGGACGCTCGATGTCGTGGGGAGCAGCAAGAGCGTCGACTACGTTGCAGCGCGCACGGGACTCGCGGCGCGGCTGCGCATGACAGGCGACCGTGATAGCCCCACGGCAGTTGTGCTGCGCGGACGCGCGCCCGTGCTCGCGCAGGCGGCCGACGAGCTCATCGCCGTGTGCAAAGACGTCGAGGTGTACAGGCTCGGCGAGGTGACGACCTTGGACTACACGGCAAGGCGTCTGTGGCCCGCGATCGAGGACGCCGAGGACGGGGGCGCATTTGTGCCGCCGGACCAGCGGGATAAAATATGGTTCCATAGGGAGCAGCAGTACTGGATCGACTGCGCGTACGAAAAGTTGCCGCGGCCGACGCGGTGGACCGAGGCGTCCTTTGACACCTTTATCAGGACGATCGTATACGGTCGCCTAAAACCGGGCAAGACGCTGTCAATCTACCACTACGGCATTCACACCGACAAAATTCGCGTCCGCATGATCATGGAGGCTTTTGAGGATCCCGCCGCGCGCAGCTGCATCACCACGCCCGTCCTCCAAATGGCGCTGCAGTTCATGGCCACGCACGGCGGCCACCGCGCCTCCGCCGAGCGCCTGCTCGCCCAAGCCGAGAGATGGGGCGTGCCGCTCGACACAGACGCCTTCAACATCCTGCTCGACTGCTACGTGCAGGTGCACGACGCGCGCTTCTTCCACAAGGTGCTCGTCAAGATGCGCGAGTGCTGCTTCTACCCCAACACGCGCACCTGGCTCCATTTCCTGAAGCTCGTGCAGCGCGACGACGCCCGGCTGCAAGTCGAGGCCGCCATGTTTGACCTCGGCTTCTTCGCGGACCCGAGCACGCGTCGTGGCGTCGGCATCATTACCGCCGGGGCGGCCGCCTACCAGGCCTTTCGCGTGGGCGAGACCCTCCCGTCGTTTCTGCGCAAGCAAATCGCGCGGTTCGGCCCCGCATGGCTCACTGAGCAATCCGTCAACGCCGTGCTCAACGAGTTCTTCCTCTTCCACCCGACGGCTGCCGCGAGTAGCCACCACCCCGACCATCGCCTGCTCGTCGAGCGCCTGGCCGCGGAGCAGGGCCAGCCCACCATGCCCAGCAGCACGCGCAACCTCATCCTCGAGCACTGCGCACAGCCGCACGTCTGCGACTGGGATACGACGCTGTGGGCGCTCGAACACGGCATGCCCGCTCGGCGCGACGACGCTGCGGTCGGCGAGCGCACCGCCACCGGTGACACCTACCACCATCTGATTAATCTGTGCCGGGCCACGCGCAGCCCCGCCGCGCTCGCCGTCGTCGTCTTCTACGCCGTCAAGGAACGCGCGCTGGTTGAGCGCGCCGCCCGCACGGCCGTCGCCCAGGCCCTCCTCGACAGAGGAGACGACGCCATTCCGCCGCGAATACTGTCCCCGGCCATGGCGCGCGCAATCCAAAAGGAGCCCGTCGAAACCAAGGCGCACGCCGTCCGCGCCGTAGAGGCCGCGATGCGACACACGACTGAGGGCTACATGCCCGCGGACCGGCTCGTCAACGTGCTGCGCGACGCGCGCGCGTCCGACTGTCGCCTGCAGCGCGAGGGTACCGCCACCGCCGCCGCTGCCGCTGCCGCGAAAACGGAGGACGATGGGGCTGCTGCCGGCCCGGTGGAGCCAGAGGCGGTAACGATTGCACTTGAGGGGATCGACGGCGAGAGTGCGCGGACAGAGGTGTGTCTTGACCGCGTTTTTGACGTGCGGCGCATGGTCGTGTACAACCAGCACGCGAAGCCGGCGTGGCTAGTAGAGAAGCAGAAGAAGAAGCAGCAAAGAAAAGCAAAGCAGAGCGAGACGGCAAGCGGCCAAACGAGTGAACCGTCGTCGAATAAGACAGTACCGGAGAAAGAAACCAAGACAGAAGAAGCAGCCGCCGCCGCCGCCGCGGGCGAACAGGGCGGAAACCACCCACTTGTACAATACGTAAACTCTTTGCATTGAAAATTTTGGGAATCCCAAAAGCGGCGCAAGTCATATTTCTTTGGACATATCGAGGTTTTTCTATATAGAGATGGAAGCCTAACACCATCATTGTTATTTAGATTGCATGAAAGAAGAAAGGCCAGGAAATATAGATACCCCTACATTTGTAGCAACCCCTTCCTCGATTTAACAATCCAACAAAATGAGCTTCAAAGACATATCGATGACAAAGGCAATGCGAATACTTGGGTTTTTCTTTGCATGTTTTTTTTTTTTGGATCTTTCGAAATACAAACCTCGACAGCTTTCTCACGTCCTTCGTCTTCTCTTCCCCCTTCCCTTCGCCTCTCGTCTTTACAAAGATAAAGGTCATAAAAAAAGTCATTCATTCCCGTCTTCATTATTCTCCCCTTTTCGTCTTCATTTGCTTTCTTTGGGGCCGCGAGATCTTTGCAGGTCATCCTCTCCTCTCTCTCGCCTTCTAAAGTTCATATCATCGTCACAAGAGAAAAAAAAGCGCCCACCGTCCTTTGGCACAGGACTTCTTCCACTCCTTTTCCACATCACATCGCTTCCTCATTTCCGATATTTCTTTTCGGCTGCATAGCGTTGAACGGGACCATGAAAAGAAAAATAATATATGTCATGTCTAAGAAAAGCCGACACTGTTCCTTCCAACAGATTCCAGGGTTTTACTAGCAGGTTTGATTTGAAAGAGAGCATGGGCAGCATGGAACAAAACAGGTACAGGAGGATATCATCGCCAAGAATGGAGATCTTTGAAGCGTAAGACGAGGTGGATAAAAGCGAAAAAAGATACGGGGGTGGTGGCTGTGTTGTGGATGCTTTTAGTCGTGGGGTTCAATCGTTACACTGTCACCCACTTCAACCATTGTATCGTCATCCTGGCCGGTCAAGACGGCCACCTAGTCCTTCTTAGTCTCTTCCGAGGCGGGCGTATCTTGCTTTTTTTTGCTGTCGGAAGCGGGGGCTGACTTGGATTCGGCGGACTCGTCCGAGTTCGATGCGGGAGCAGAAGGCTCTGTCTTTGCGCCTTTGACATCCTTTTCGTTCTGATCGGTCGTCGTGGATTTTGAGACCTGGCTCTCAAGATCCTGGTCTTCGTCGGCATTATCGAACATTTCGGTATCATCTGAACCCGTAAGAACCTCTGTGCCATCGCCGAGGAAAATAATTCGACCGCGAGACCCACCAGCTCCAAAGTCCTTTTTGCCATCGGCATCCATTTCGAATGCGCTGTCGCTGTCGTAGTTGTGGTGTACGCCGGGGCCACGAAATTCGGCTGATGAGTGTTAATTTTGGGAGCTCAAAAGGCGCACGCGCACGTAGGCTCTGGCTGGATAATCATACCGTATTCGGGAGGAGCGCAAGGGCCATCACCGTTGGCAACACGCTTGGCAATCTCGTCGTACCATTGCTCTTTAGTCTTGCCGTTGAGAAACGCGATGATGATCATGGTCATGTTGTCGCAGCCGACACCTCCGGTTTCAGAGTTGGAAGCCAGACAGTTGTCCATCATGTTTTCGCAAATCTTTTCAAGGTCCTGCTTTGCGGCAATGCCACGACGGACGAATTCGACGACGGCCTGAGAGGATTGGCAGTCCCAGATGCCTACACATGAGTCAGTATCGCGACCAGATTGATCAGAACGGACTAGTTCAGTAATCAATGATTCCAATCTAAAACCTACCATCGCAAGCGAGAACAAGGAATTCGTCCTCGTCGGTCAGATCGTGCTGCGAAACATCGGGGAAAGCAGTGACAATCTGGGACTCCGGGGGTAGCTCAGCGACCTTCTTGAACTCGAAATCGCCAATGGCGCGAGACAGTGCCAAATTGCCATTGACACGTCCAAAGTCGACAAAACCTCCGGCGGCAGTAATACGGTTCTTCTCGGCCTCGAGTTGGGGCTTGTGGTCTTCAGACATGGGCTTCGCGCGACCCTTGATGCCCAAAACACCTCGCGAATCGCCAGCGTTGGCCTGTTCCGCGTATTAGCCGCCTTTTGGTCTCGTTTCAAGTCACTCAAAGTAGGTTTCGGAGACGTACCACAAAGATTTTGTTGCCAACAATCAAACTGACGCAGGCGGTACAGCCAGAAACCTCGTCCTCGAATCTGGGGTCTGAGAGTACACGTCAGCGGCCACGGAGGGCGATAGGAGTGGTGGTAATAGCGGTAGCATACCCCCAAGCATAGCCCTGTCAGCGGCGAGAAACCCGTCCTTGAGGCCCTGGACATAGTCGCCCTTCTTGAAAGACTCCTGTCTGGCAATGATATTATGCATATTGGCGCCGCAGTAGGTCGCTACTTTTTCGCCACCGTGTCCATCGTATACACCGAAGAAAGACAATCGAGCATTCTTGTGGACCTCGGACTCTTCGGCGGTAGGAGAAGGAATCAGGTTGAGGACGGTGGTGTCGGCATCTTCCATGCTGATGCGCCATCCTTGCATGGAGGAAACGCCATAATAGAGGATATCATCTTCGCCCTTGGATGAGTTCTGCACGAGGGAAAAAAGAGAAAATCGTTAGCATTGGCATAATTTGGGTCTTTTAACAGTGCAAGGCCATGGCTTCGAAGATGACCGCCCGCACGAATATCAAGAGTGGTTTGTGGTGGCGGGCGACTGAATGCGGGGCACGTGGAGGAAGGGATTTCCGTGCTCAACAAGTCGCGTTAATGCGCATCATCCGGGTGTCTGCTAGTCGTAAGAAGCGCAACTGCTACGGACTCTCGGAGAATGGGCATAAAAAGGAGTTTCATGTCCATTCTGACGATCCACAAGCTCGTAGAGCCAGCAAGGCAACAGGCGCGTTGAGCATGGCTGACCCTAGCTATAGCATGACAGGGCGGGCACGTTCGACCCCGATAGCGACGGCGGCGGGGGCTGGAGAAGACTCGAAAGACGTCGAAAAAAAATAACAACACACCTTATCGACCACCGGCTCCGAGAGGGTTTGACCCATAGCTGCGGAAAGGGTTGTTCTGTCGGGGGAGCAGCGCGAGGGCAGCTACCGCGAAGATGAATGGGATTGTGCGATTCTGCGGTTGTTTCGTGGGGAGGTGGGATGGATTGATGAACGAAACCGTGCGCGGGGCTGTGGCCGGGGGGGTGACTTGGAGAGTGGCGGAGGTGCGGGCAGGCGCTGGCCTCACGAAAAGGATCAGAATGCGACGCAAAAGGTCGTTGTCGCTCGCTCGATGGGAGAATCTTGTTAACGCAAAGTGGTGAGAGGGATAGGGTCGAAGTGTGAGTTAGGTTTTTCAAGGCAGAGAAAGTAGGGCGATCCGGCTGGCGCGCTGTCGACCCAGGATGGAGGGGGGGCGCAACCGGGCAGGGCGAGGTAAGTTAGGGAGGACGACACACAGAACGGAGCGATTGACAGTGATTGGGGGATTTGGGGGGCTAGATTAGGGAAGAAATGGGGCGGCGAAAGGGTTTTTGGCAGAGAAAATCCAGACCACGGCACTGCTGGCTGGTGATGCTGGCACTAACCAAGGTACAAAGCAGGATTAGCTCTAAAGGGAGGGGCTGCTGGTCGTACTTTGTAATACACCACTGGGATATCAGCAAGTAGGTAGGAAGTAAATAGGAGCTACCTAGTTACCTTAAATACCTGCTCTGAGCTACTTTCAAGGGCACACACTTTGGCACTGGTGCCTGATTACAGTAGCACCAGGGATAGGAATCCCGATGACTCTAATCCGTAGGCAGTTTCATTTGACACTCGTCTTTTTTTAACCATGTGCTGGTGTACTCAGTAATACGTGTCTGCGTTTGCTAGGGCAGTCTCTAGGGTCCCCGCAAAACTTCTCAGAATAGGCACGCTACCTAGGTACAAGCCCTTCCCCCCGGGTCCGCAGCCGCGTTAACAGAACTTCCGCAAAGTATCGACTGTCTCTGATAGTGACGGTGATGATGGCATGTACTTCCTGCTTGTTGGATATGGCTGTCCTACCTCGAGCCAGGTGACTCTGATAACTAGGCACGGACTGGTGAGAGTCGTCACGCGAGGTGCTGTATCACAAAACTCTGCATCACAAACACGGACCAGTTCCTTAACCAATGCGATGCGCCCATGAGCATCGGCGACGCATATATGAACTATTTCTATATCAAACCTGGGGGAGAAAATCGAGACTGCGGGAACGGGGCTTGCTTGCTTGTCTGTTGTTGTCTGGTTGCCTATTCGCCTTCCTTTGCTGTCACATCATGTGCCCAAATCAAGTTTTTTTTTTTATCTCCCACAACCATACCGACTCACCTACCTAACGATTTTATACTAACGTAGGTACCTACCCAACAGGCAACCTGTGCCACGCACACACATATATGTAATCCGTCTCATATCCCGGCACGTTACCGCCGACGACAGCCGTTGTTGCCTAACGTTTAATCTTGAGCAAAATGTCAAAGGAATTAAGAAGAAAAAGAAAAAGAAGAAGAAAAGAAGCAAATTTTATCCATGCCGTGCCCACCGCTCCCTTCCTCTTACCAGTACTCCCATTTTTAGCATCGGATTTGCAAAAAGGTGGGGGATATATCTATCATGTTGGGGTAGGGTTCCCGGGCCCCTCCAGCTGCAGGTCAAGGCCCGGCCGACACGGCCGCTTGAAACTGCCCAAAATCGCCAGGCTCCCCTGCTTCCCGATAATCAATTACCCTTGTACTCACCATGTCCCCCGGCGACAAAAGAAATCCAAATCTCGGTCCTTTTTTTTTTTTTTTAACACCACCGTCCTTGCACAACAGCTTTATAAACCTGCACAGGGCTTCTCACCACTCGCGCGTTCCCAAGATTGTGACGTGCACAGTGCCAACGCCACACCAAACTCTTCTCCTTTCAGAACAAGCCACCAGAATTCCAACCCCTCCAAGTTCCTACCCTCCAAGGCAGGTCCAAGAAAATTTTCTTCAGCCGTGTTTTCTTTGCAGGTCGCGTGTTCCCATCTACGAATGTCTAATCGCACCCCTCCCGTCCCGCCAGAATCTTTTCCAGCTTCCCTACGCCCAGCCTCATCACCCAATAACAGCCTCGCCTCGTTAATGCCTAATGCAGTTCGTGCTCTAGTTATCTACCAGCACCACATTTCCAAATACATGGAGCAAGAGCACTGAAAGTTGAGCATTGTTCATTTTCCAAACATTATCTTGTACATTTGATGAAGCGTCGCTTATATCGTTGATCCTACAAAGTAATCAAGACCAGTCATGGTATAGTTGCCAGTAACTCTGCAATGAGAACGCATATTCCCCTTCGACCCCATGAGACGGCATAGATATATCATCCACAGACATTCAGGACAACAACACCACGTATACCTAAGTCGATCGAGAAGAGAAATGACAAAACAACGTACAATCCAAGCCAATCAAGACACCTAGAAAACATCAAGATGCCATTACAGTATCTCGTCCACCATACAAGAGCCATCATGGCCCTTTACCTCTTCCATCGTATTATCGTAACGTGGCCGGTAACGATCCGGATAGTCTTTACCTCGATATCGCTTATGGTAAGGCACGCAGGGCGATAGTCGCCACGCTGCGCGGCTTCGCTCTGCTGCACGACGAGCACGCCGTCTCTGCCACTTGCTTCGTTCCTGATCTCTGAGTCGTCTTGGCGCCTCTGCCAGCGCGGCAAAGTACCCTTGTCGGCCTGGAATATCCAGGAATGGATATTTGACGAGCAATACGAGCTGCGTCACAAACTTTGACTGCGTCGCCCGGTCCAGCTCGAGCATCCATTGTGTGTAGTTGGTGGGCTGGGCTGCTTTGAGACCTTCCATCACCGACGACGTGAAGAGGTGCTCAAGCAGCTCCTCGACGCTCCCGTTTTCCCCGCCGTAACGTGCGAGCAGCCGCAGGTGGCACTGCTGTGCGTCTTTTAAGTACTGATCGAGCCCGTTGGACGTGGGTGCCAGATCTATCCGCGTCATGTCGACAATGTCCCGGTGCGCCTCGTAGCTCTGCTGCGGATGGCGCTCCGGCTCCGCGAGCAGGTCGGCCAAAAGCGCAAGCGTGTTCTTGAGCGTGGCACCGGTTATCTCCCATCCGCTGTTCCAAAGTCTCTGCAGAACCTGCTCCGACATGTTCTGGACCAACAGCTGTACTGCTCGGTTCTGTTCCCCAGCGTACTGATAATGTTCAGCGCCGCTCATCGGCCGCAAATCGGCGTTAAGAAGATGCCGAAGACCCATCATGTCTAACTGGACCAGCACGAATTTGTGCCATTCCTTCCACGAACCATGGCCGCGGAGCTGTATCATATTTCGGCTCGGGTTGTCGTAATGTCGTGTCACTGCTGTACAGCTTAGTCTCAAGTCCACGTTAGGTTGACACCTTGCGTTGTTCATTTGCATCTGTGAAAACCCAACTCTTGACAAAGACGAGAGGTTTCATAGCCCCCAGGAAGGGAATGAGAGGAATTACCTAGGTACCTACTTACGCCGCGTGACAGTGACCCCAGCAACCTGAGATCTGCCAGCTGGCAACCTTGCAGTTGCCAGCTGCCGTTTGCAAATGCATCAAACGGGCGTTACCACCGCACAACAATAGCATTTACGAGTAAAGAATTAACAGTTATGCTGACCTAGGTTGGCCAGAATATAATACACTGGGGCTGTAGTTCTGCCGAAGTTCCCATCGCAAACAAAATATGTGATGTCTTTCCAGCTCAGTCATCAGTACATTTTCCCAGAAGTGTCAGTACCCCATCATAAACCAGTATCACCGTTATCTCCTCACATTTTAGGGCTCGCCCTCCAATTTTTTGGACTCGCAGGTATCACAACGCCTACGCCTGTGGCGGGAACATCGACCCGGCCTCTTCCTCTTGCCTTGTCCTCGTGTTCCTCCTTTGTAGCCTCCACTTCATCGTGATCCTCCTTTCTAGCCTCCACCTCAGCGTGGTGACGGTCCCGCCATCTTCGCGGCGCCGTGTGCGGTTTCAAGAACCAGCAATCTCTCTCCTTGTGCGGAAACGCCTTACGATGATGCTCGGCGCAGTAGCTGCAAGCTTCTTGAGCTTTGTGCACCATTTCAGAGCTGCTGGCGGCCTGACTCCCTTGCGCAGCCGGTGCGACGACGGCGACGCGACTCCTCGGCGGCGGCTGCGCGGCAAGCTTACTGTCGTCTCGATCCTTGGCCAGTAGCCACTCTGTCACGCCAGCCCGTGTTCCCGCGCGCGCCAGCGTACCCTGCTCTAGTTTCTCTATCCACTCGGCGTACCAGGCGGGCTTGCTCGTCGCGATGCCCTCGACTAGCGCCGTCACAAACAGCTGCTCGAGAATCTCCTCCACAGGTCCCGCGCCGTCGCCGTCGCCGCCGTATCGTTCGAGCAACCCGTCGTGGCAGTGTTTTGCCGCCAAGATGTACTCCTTGACCGTCTGAGCGCCAGAGGCGAGATCTGCGCGTGCCAGGCCAACAAGATGCCTGCGGGCCGCAGCTGTCGTCTCTGCATCCTCACGCCGGTGCCGCTCTGCTTCATCGACAATGGCCTCGAGCGTTTGTAGCGTGCTCGATACCGTGGCGCGCTCGGGCTTCCAACCACTAGCGTACGCGCGCGCCAGCATGTCCTCGGAGAGGCCGTCTACCAGGAGTCGCACACCGGTGGCTTGGTCAGACTCGTGACGGCTGACGGCATCGGGGGCGTCCCAGTCTTCGGGACCGTCGTCCCTCAGTAGGTACCGCAGACCCATTCTCTGCAGAGCCATGCGGGCTTTGATGTGCCATGTATGCCAGTTATCGAATCCAGTGAGCTTACTGAGGCATTCGTCCGGGATTAGCTCTGTCGATGACATGGTTGTCAGCATTCAGATGCCTGAATTTGACGAGGAAGACGCGCAAGAAGGGCGATGAAGGATGATATGAAACGGCGCTCAGCAAGTGAAAATTTTGAAGGTTGTGAAGGAGCGAGAATCGGTCCAAGCAGTGAAGCAGCATCTATGTAAACAATACTCAAGTACAAAGGCCGGGGTTGGCAAACGCGGGTGTTTTATGTCGCCGTTTGCTAGATGCCGATTCACGCAATGGAGAGCTCAGACCAGTCAAACTTGTCCCGAATTGATATCAAGTACCAGACAAGTTGTTGAGAGTACATTGTAAGCTTCCGATTTATTCGACAATTGCCCTACGTACAGAAGGTCATTAAAAGAAGTTTCATTTCATTCAGGACATTTGATTTTCAAGAAGAACTTGTTCATGCAAAGCTACAACTTCATTCGGGGATTCTAGTATAGAAACAGAGATAAAATTAAAGATGTACCGCCAAGATATGCATAGAAAGTACATATGCTGCGAAATACGCCAATATTCGTACATCTCCTTGCGCTCCAACCGTTTCACTTCCCGTTCTATTCTCTCGTACTAAAAAAACATTATGGATATTGTGGTATCAATCGCATTAAACAAAAAGAAGAAAATTCGAAATTATCAGCAAATCGTAACAAAACCTTTGCTTAGTTTTTTTCCAAGCCTCAACACTTGGCAACTTATATAAACACTTTGAAGCTGCTGCTCTCCGACAGCTTGCCCGAATTATCCTTTCGCCACGCACTCGCGGCCGTAGACATGAAGGTTGGGCTCTCGGTAATGGTCGCCTTCTTCTCGGCCCCGACGTCGCCCCATTTGCTCTTGGGCGTTGGCGTGGGACTTGAGCGCTCACCGGGCATGGCGCCGTCGCGACTCTCCGACAGCGGGCTGAACTCGGACTGATCGACGACTTCTCGAATGCTCATGTGGGTTGGTTCCCGCTTGCCGATGACGCGCCAATTCTCCGCGGACCCAAAGGAGGGTGACGTCAAGAGACTCCGGGTGCCGTTGGATGTAACGTCGGCCCAGAGCACGCTATCGGCAGTGTTGCCGGTGGTGATGTATGCTGGTTCTGGCGGGCGTACATCCACATTACTTGTGTCAGACATGCTGATTGATTCCCAGTTGGGGTCTGATCCGTCGTTTTCCGCAATTGTCGGTGCTGATGGCCTGTGATTACGGCCTCGCTCATTGATTGAGAGAGCGACAGAGCTGGTAGTCTTGGTTGAGTATGTATCGCCGCTTTTGTGGTCTCTGCGTGAGAATATAGGCGCGTCAGCGACTGCTGGGGTCTTCATCGATGCGCGATCCTTGAGTCCGGTTATGCCATCCATGTCCTTTTTGTATCCGCCTGTGCCCGATTTATGAAGGTAGCTGTCGACTGGGAACACTTGATGTGTAGATTCGGGAGTACCTGGAATAGTAAAAAGCTCATTGTCGTTGTGTGTAGACTTGGCGCCGCTCATGTATGGGATGTCTCCTTCGACAGTTTCCCAGGAGCGCCTCTCATCATTGCTGACGGGAGGGCTGATGCTTCGTATCACACCTTGCTGTCCCTTGGTAGTAGGCGATCGTGCCGGCATTGCACCGTACTCTTCGCTCCCACCGAGCGTCTCTGATGACCGTCTCGCTGCCGGGACGCGAGGAACCGCCTCGACATAAGCAGCCGCTGTAGGTTTCAGCATGTGCTTTTCATTGTTTGGCACAGCGGTCATCTTCTCGACGCGACGCGTTGAGGAATTGGAACCGCGACTGCCGATCGGGCTGAGGATATTTGGTCGAGTTTTACTCGACAGGTAACTGCGGCTAGCCCGACGGCGTCGCAGAAAACAGACAAAGAGCATGAGCATGAGAGCAATGAACAGAATCGGAATGATGGTGGCGAGCAGTATATCGCCGGTGCTGAGTCGACCTCCCGTCGCCGGGGAAGGCGATTCGCTAGCCTTGGGCGTCGACGTCGAGCTGGGACTGCTCGTTGTCACTGAGGTGCTGGTTGGAGTACCGTCTGGCGCCAAGAAGTTGACATGAAGTTTCTCGCTTTCAGACAGGCTGGAGGATTTTGAACTGGCCTGCACAGTGACATCAAAGTTGCCCTTTGAGTCTTTTGGCACGTTTCCAGATAGCTTGAAGCCATCGACTTTGAGCCATTTTTCGGCTGGACTGATTGTCACGTTCAGATTGATGTCGGATGAGTTTCTGAAATATTGGCTTAGGTCGACATCAAATTTCCCGCCGGGGCGGGCATCCATGTCCTCAAAGGTAGACTTGAAGAGACCAGTCGCGACGTTGACGACAACAAGCACGTCCAAGGTGGCAGAAAGCATGCTGCTATAAGTGATGGTAAAGTTGCTAGCATGGTCGCCATCGCGAGGAGTACCGCTCAGCTTGCCAGTATCCTTGTCGTAGTTGAGCCATTGGGGCATATTTTGTGTTGTGACGTCGAGCTCGCTCGATTTTACCGGTTTGCCATCGAGGGCAATGGCATCTTTCAGGCCTTCAAAGTCAACCGCAATACCTCTCGTCGCATTAATCGTGACAATGGGGTTCTCGGTAGTGAGCTTGTGGCTACCAACGACAATGTTAAAGGTCAGCGCGGTGGCAGCGAAACCAACAATGTCGGACGCGACAAGGCTGAAGCCAAAAGTCTGAGGTGGTTGTACCAGAGACTCGAATGGCGGCGTTTTGCCAAAAAATGTCAATGAATCAGCATCAAATTTGACCCAGGCTGGTAAGGGGCTGTTGTTGGATGAGACGGCGTAGTAGTTGAGGCCACTGTTCTTGCCAAATGTATCATGGTCGAAGCTGTACCGAAACTGGGTGGACGGGTATGACAGGACGGACGAGGGCGCTGAAAAGTTTCCAAATTTCTTGATCTGGTCTTCGAGAGGTATTTGGACCACAGGCGCGGGCTTTCTGGCAATGACTAGCGTCGAGTTCATTGTCGTTGAGCCGCTATCGTCGGTGGCCACAATGTCGACCTTTTGGCCAATAACGTCGTCGTCGGGGATGTCAATACCTCTGGGCGTTCCGTAAAGTCTCCGGTTCGCACTCTCAATGGACAGCCATGTAGGGTGATTTTGGCCAAATGAGTATGTAATGTTGGAGGATGAGATGAAAGTCTGGGGCGAGAAGGAGTAGGTGAAGAATGTGTCTAATCGGGCTGCAAGAGGCAGCTGGGCGTTGAGCGGAAACGCAAGATTCGGTCTGCCGCAAGCGAGGCCGGCTAGTTGCAGAGCCACGAGAATTACCGTGAGCGCAGTCATGATGACTCTGCAGCGCCGCGTGGACGAGTGCTAGGTTGATCGTGATGCTCCAGAGAGCTGCTGGTCACGACGTGTTGAAAAGGCACTGCGAGGACAATGGCGACGAGGAGGAAGAAGCAAGCAAGAGGAGAAAAGGAAAGCCTCGTGAAAGTGCAGGCCGAGAGGGAGTGTATCAATGTCTTTGAAGCCGTCTGCGCTTGATGGCTGGCCGCATTCTGTCGATACCGCCCCCTTCATTCCTACAACAATCGCCCCACGGCACATTGTGCGCTGGAGAGGGGCACAAGAGAGCATGACGGGCAGAAGCAAGATGTCTCGTGTCTAGCAGGTTTCTAAAGCGCGTAAAGCACCTTGGCGGGGAGGGGACGCAAGGACGCGCGACGACGAGCAATGAGGGCTGGGCATTGGCAGAGGCGAGCATTCCAGAGCGCGGTCGTTGACAACGCCTGACCAGGCTTTGTTCAAGGGCGAGACGTGGGGCCGCACTATTGAACAGGGCGGGATCGATAGACGGCGCTTTGAGAAATGCAGCTGATGATGATTGGAAATTTTTGATTGAATCGAATTGGAATATTGAATCGAATTGAATTGTATTGAATTGAAAATTAGAGTTGGACGTTGTGGGCGTTTGCTGTGAGGCTATCGATCTAGCAGCGCGACTACACAGATCAAGGGTCGCGTCTGCGTATTTGACGTTATATATTTGCTCCGTCCTGAAATCGATCGAAACAAAAGAACAAGTAAACCAGAAAGGTTATAGAAACAAAGTACAATGGACAGAATTGGAATATCCACGCAGCCACGAAACAACGGATGATATGTCCTCCTACTATTCTGGGGCTTGCACATACCTGACGCAGGCACAGGCCACCAGGTAGCGGCTACCTGGAATTCAGGCGACAGCTGGTGGTTGGGAGAGGTACCACTTACAGGCCGTATTAGCGGCTTTGGTGGTCAATGGAATAAGGCATCCCACCACCCTTGGTCTTCAGTCACTCAGACAAATTAGCCCATCTGATATTGCCACTACTCAATGAAGACTGCACCTATATTTGTCATTTGAGACAATTTGATGCTCAAATATGATTACTTGAAGGCTGCCTTTGTGCACATAAAATTGGTGAGAATGTCGACGACTAAGCAGAGCCAGTATAATAAATCGAATAGGTGCTTCACAAACGAAGTGACAAGATGCCCTATTCTACATCGCATCACCTATATATAGCAAAGCTACTTGTACACGTGGAGACGTTCCTGGGAGCTAAATAATACCTACATACATAGACATAGATATGAATATAGACATGGAGATGAATCGTATAGCTTCGGCTTCAGCAAGCTAGAAACCAAAATCGATTTGATGCAAGGTATTACCATTGTCTTTTCGAGTGGGGATGCTGGTGTTGCTGCAAATTACCAAGGCGACTGCTTGGGCAAAAATAACAATGTCTTCAAGCCCGGGTTTCCTGCGTCCTGCCCATATGTCATCACTGTTGGCGGAACTGTCCTACTGTCTGGGGATGCTCCTGGAGCTCCAGAAATGGCTTGGGCTGGATCGGGAGTTTCTCTGCAGTGCCAGGTTGGGATCGTGCCACAGGCTTGGGAACACCAAACTACCCCAGCTATCGCCAAGTATTTCCTGAGTGTTGGTGATAAGCCGCCTGGGCTGAACTCCAGTTTTGCAGCGCAAGCGCAGTAGATGTTTCCTGCGCGGCTACTGCGGCTGCTCCTTGGTTCGCCAAGTGTTCTTGTTGCAAATGCTGTTCACATACGGCACGGGCCTGAGCGGGATGACAGCTATTACAATTGTATTTAAAACCCAAAAAATAATTTCGCTATTTAGAATTTCACTCCCAGCAGTGTTGGGCTTCTTACACGATAACATCCTCCAAATACAAGACATTCTATTACTGTTTTGCCTTGGCTTGCTGCACTGTCCGCTGGCCTGTTGTAGTGGACCGAAAGTACAAAAATGCCAGCACTGCGCCGACAGCAATAAGTACAATGTTTCCTAGGTAATAGCGTTAGTGTTTGCCGCATTTCTTTTTTTGAAAAATTGTTAATCAGCGTACCAGCGACAAATGCAGTGATGGAATTAATCACGGATCCCACGCCACTGATTGTGTTGCCAACGGTGTGCAAGAGGCCGCTGAGCAGCCCAGTGATGGTGCTGAGTATGCCGTGTATAATGTTGTAGATGCCATTGAAGAATGACTCAATAGACTGGTAGACAAAGTCCACCAGGTCGGAAATCGCAGAGGTGACGGCCATGATGTATTATAAGACTTTTGAATTGATTGCGTCCAAGTGACTTTCTTTGCAAAGGCAGGAATAAATTTGTCAAGTATATATTCCCATCGCATGATTAAAATGGAAGAAGCGCCTGCGCTTTAATACTGGGGAAAAAGCAGCTTGTCTGGCAGACGTCATTGATGTTGTCGGCTTGTACGCACCTGATCATCTCGCAGCTAAAAAGCTTGATTCAACTGGGGCGGGAGTCTGTATGGGGCAAGATTACCGTTGCACCAACTGCTTTAGGCTACGCCACTACATTCCACTCATTTTTGATTCATCAATTCATAGAAAACGTTGGGCATTGACACACTGCCGTGGCAAATACGCAAGCACGTGGCAAGCTGGCAAGCAAGCTGGCTGGCTAGCAAGCTAGTAAAAGAAACATACGGTTGTGCACGTCCCAGCACCGCCACAGCAGCATGTGCATTTATTTGGGCGAGCCCAAAAATGAGCCACAACAGCTGCACCTATTCAAGGGTCGAATCTGACCTTGATAAATTATAGAATTTCCTAGAGATCCACTAGAGATCCAGCGCCAGGAAAGAAAGCTCTTTTTGGGCAGTTTGTGCAGAATGGCTTTCCCTCATTATGGATTGTTGAGCAGTCATCAGCAACAAAGTCTCGACTATGCTATATACTGCTCTTTAGTTAGCGTACACGTTTTTTTAATTTCATATGGGCAGCAATCCTTCTTTCCAAAGTCTGGATAGTCCCTCACACTCTCTATGTCATCCAGTCTTTGGTAAAGCGTGCGCACTCTACAATTCGAGCACAATTTCGTTGTTTCCATCAATTCTTGGTACTTCTCGATCATTGAGTTCACATCAGACACACGAAACCCATGAAAAGGCTTCTCAGGCCGAGGGTATAAACCTGCAGAACACAATTTTTTCTGCAGTCCGCCAAGAGCCAACATCTCACAGACTGAATCACAGGGCGAGTTGGGTTTTACTACCTTGTCGGTCGACAAGGTAGCCTTGAACTGGTAAATGTTTCCCAAAAGTCTCTGGATGACGGTTTCTCGAGCATTGTCCATTCTTGCTAATAAAAAAGGTCAGCACTCCAGAAACTGCAGTTTCAAAATCACACCAAGAAAATTAGGAACTCACAAGTGATATTTTCAGCGATTGGTAGCCCGATGCTGTCAAATGGTTCCTCATTATGTTCAATAATAATGTTGGCAGCTGCATTTATGATGGCGTCGATCTCGAATACGGAAGCAATGAGAAGCCACAGATTTAATTCTCTTCCGGGCTTCGCATTATTGATTACCTCTTTGATCCGATCCTCTCCGATCCAATTTTTGACTGCAAGTCGCATAGCCTCGTGGCAATGGAAGTAGTCCACTATAAGAGCCACTTCAGCGAGCTCCTTCGTCTCGAGCTTGACTGGCACACGGTCGTTGTGAAAGTGTATGAGATTGAGTACATGCTTTAACGCTTCGGGATCAAAGCCGTCCAGCTTTTTATGGCGCAAACCGTCAGGCTGGATCTCGGGCTGCCTCCAAGGGCCATTCGGATCGAGGTCTTTGCGAAAAACTCGGGATGCGAGACGTAGAATGTGCGAAGAGACCAAGAGCCTGTGTTTTGTCTCTAGGTCGGAATCATTCCCGGACAAATCTCCATTCAAGACATCTCCTGTGAGTTGATCTGTTGATCTCGCATCTTGTTCTAGCAGCATTTGAGGCTCCGTGTCTGTGTCTGCGGCCGTGTCTATGTCTGCGGCCCTGACTGGAATTTTGTACTCGCTTATCAAGTCCTCAAGTTCTCCTTCCATTTCGGCGATGAGCTCATCGTCTTCAACACCTTCAAGGGTGTCTTCATCGGTGTCTTCAGCAGTGTCCTGATTTTGGTCATAATCCTCATCGAGCCAGTCGATTGGTTCCGTTCGGGGTCTTAGAATGAGCAGAAGATCCCCGAATTCGTCGATTGCTTCATAGTGTGCGTCCATTCTCAGCAGAGTTTTGTTGCAGCTCGCCAGCTGTCTTGAAGAGACGCGAAAGGCTTGTGTTGTTATTCTCTTGCAAGATCAAGTGAATCAAGAGTGTCAGGGGGTATGCTTAGTGGGGCCAGCACAATCCGATCACAACACTTTCGAAAGGCGAATGTGACATATTGGCTACAGTGGCTACCCAAAAGTGACGCGGAAAAAAAAGACACACTACCCTAGAGAGATAAAAATAACTTTAAAGAACTATAACTAATTAAAGATAAATGATAAAAAAAGCTAACTAGAAAATATAAATCTTTAATCTAAAAATATTTATATTATATAGTTAAAGAAGATATAATAAATAATTAAATATAAAAGGAAAATTTTAATTATAAAACTAGAAATTTTTTTCTTAAAAAGAAACTACTATAAGAGTTTAAAAGTATAAATAAAAAATAAAATAAGCTTAAAAATATAAACTAAATATTATTAAATAATAAATAAATTAAACTTTATAATATATTACTTTAAAAAAAATATAATATTTTTACTTAGCTAATAACGTAGTTAATAAGTAAGTAACGTAGATAAGCGAGTAACACACCTCTACTAACCTATTACC